GATTTCATCAATGCATCACACTTGGGGTCTAGCGAGAATGATTACAGAGATATAGGGTGTTCAAAATCTAGATTTTTCAACTTTAGGATTCTTTAGCGTCGAAACTATTCATTATTGGTCAAAACGGCTTTCATGTCCCTATTCCAACTTTTGATTTACTATCTACTGACATTTAATTGAAACAAATACAGGGTGGTTCAAGATTCAGCATTCTGATCACCCTTGTATCTGTTCCAATTAAATGTCAGTAGATAGTGAATCAAAAGTTAAGATAGGGACATGTACGCCGTTTTGATCGATAATGAATAGTTTCGACGTAAAAAAATCCTAAAATTGAAAAATCTTGATTTTGATACGCCACGCATTTCTGAGTCACCTTGTATGAAGCGAAATAATTCGGAAATGTGCTGCTCATGATCCTAGATCATTTCTGAAATTTTTGTTCATCTATCCCAAACAGTAAAGCCGTTATCTCACTTTGCCACACTAATGACTCACCCTCTATAATAGTAGCCTCAACCAAAATGGAATGCACTGTACATTAGTTTCTTTAAAATTTGTTGAAGCAAAATCATTTTTCTGATGAAACTAAAACAAAAACGTCCAACTATAATTGACGTTCACTAAAAGTTTCGATATGGGATTTTTACCTGTTTGAACTGAATTTTTGTTGATAAGTACAAAATGTAATGTCTTAAGTAGGTGATAGTTACTTTTACTGCATATGATGACGGTCCATTGAGATGTGTATTTTCAGGGTTGGCAGCCGTTCCTGGAAGTAGGTTTAACGAAATTATGCGAAAGTGCCTTAAAAAAACTACGTGAACGATAAATTAATTATTGAGTGAACACAAATACCTATAATTGTAACAAGAAGTATATAATTTAACGAGCTTTGGGTCCCCTTGAATGTTCTGCATGTACCTTCGGGCTTCCACTTCGACTGACGCTATAGACATTGATGATAAAACGCAAACTACACCTTTTTCAATTGCAGTTCAGAAAGTGGCAGATTTATTTCAACCTGAATAACTAGTAGCCATTTATTCTGAATTATGTTACGCTTTCTGAATTTCATTTCACTAATTTGAAGTATATAATATGTTTTGTTTTCTGGAAGATCTGGATTACAATTGACTATCTTAACCACAATCGACTAATCTGATGTACAAGTTAGTACTTTTGAAATACATTCCACTAATTTGAATTACGTGTTCCGCTTTCTGGAAAAACTAAATTACATTTCACTAATTCATTGAATTTCAAGTTACACTCTCTTAATTACATTTGACTTATTTTAATTCCGTAGGAACTAGTTGAGCTTTCCGAATGACATTTCACTAATCTGAATCATATACAATTGACGCTCTCTGAATCACAAATAAAAAAAGGTGTAGTTGTTATAATTGTTATGTATTTATTTATAATTTTTGTATTTGTTTGAAATCATGGTTATGATTATTATTGATTTATGAACTACATGTCTGATCGAGATCATTGTCCATGTATCCGCTTTGAATATTGATTTTAGTGTACCTACTGATTTCCATAGTCTATGTAGGTATATACAGGGTCTTGACGTATATTTTTGACTCCCCTTCAACCCTTTAGCTGAGAGAGGCGTTAAAAAACTAGATGAAAAAGCTTCTATAGTAATTCAACATGAAAATTATTTATTCAGGCGCCTGTTTTTTTATCTCCACCATGGGGATCTCTGGTATCATAATATGTCTGTACAGGGTGTGTCAGATTGGATACTTTGGAGGGGAATGTGGGTAGAATTCTAATATCAAACTAGATAGAAGAAAAATGATGTCTGTGTCAATTGTTATGACAAACTCAATGGTGAGAACTGTATATATGGATATCTATTTTCATTTCAGAATTACAAGGTTTTTGTTCGAAAGTGCCATCTTAGAAAAATTTCTAAAGCATCGAGTTTAACATGGGAATTTATACCTACGTATAGAAATTCTCCTTGAGAAGACCAAGTGAACAAGTTATATTTTTGTTCTGAACTGAGGTGTCAACTGTTTCCTAAGTGGTATTTGAAGAAAGACATGGATAAAATCCAAAAATTTCATTCGAGATTTCTTTAGTCATCTTATGATAAATGAGTTTGAGGTGGTTTAAAAAATAAAAACGTGAAGACCCTGTACATGATCAGATTCTGTACTATACTTAGCTATCATTCGAGTCCTAAAATATTATATAATGAGAGCTTTATGAGGAAGAATGAGATTCGTATTTTGAATATTTTGGGAAAGAGTTTCTCTAATTTTTTCTAGTGACATGTTGTCCAATATTTTTTCATTTTATATGTTGTTTTTCCGTCATTTGCTTGTGATTTCAGCATTGAAAGATTACAAGAATGGAAGGAATGTGTACTTTTTGAAAGAATGAATACTTTAAATTCAGTTGACCTGTATAATATCTTGTGGAATCGAATGGATAAGTAAGGAATAAAGAATTGCTACCAGAACAAATATATAAATTCATCTATATTATTATTAAGTATTGATTTGAGGTGAGTTTTTTGCTCAATTTTCTTTTTTATATTTGATGTACAGTTAGTTAGGTTCTTATATTTTTTAAATAATACGACATCTAGATGCACTGTATATATACTATTATAATTGATTCATTCTATTCTATGATGAGACTAATATTGTACATTATCGAAAATCTGTGAATATAAATATTTCTGCTGTGTAAATATTGGTGTTTTTATTTACCTACTCACACCATAAAGAGATGAATAATACAATTTATCATACGTGTTCAGATTAATATTCAGCACATCGGGAACACCCTGTATGTACAAATTATTGTCAGGCAAATATTTTTCTTCATGCTAATGTCTGAATAACTATCAGAGATAAAGGGAAAACAACTTCATATTCTTGTTCATCACATCGAGAACAACCTGTATACAAGATTTCAGGTCATTCTGAGACCTTAAAAATAAAAATGTCTGATTCGACAGCTATCGATTGCACAAAAAAATCGTTGAGTTCGCATCATTTTCAAAGTAAGAACTGAATAATAAATAAAATCACATGCTGCAGACTTCGAGGAGGGCAATGTATATTAAATTTCTCTTCACCTCAACCCGTATACCTACTATCAATATCGGAATTAGTCGTACTTGTTCGGTACAAGAGAAGCCACTTCCTATGCCGTTTGAAAAAATATAACTGTTGTTGATTTTATGTTTTCTTTTGAGAACGGATCTGGCTCCTTTTGAAAATTAATTCTGAGAGAAAAGAGCCTTCTGATGGTTCAATAATTTATTGTTTTTGGGCCTTGATAGGTACATAGGGTAGGGCGTGATATAATTTTTTTTAAATTGAAAAATGGAATCTCTTGTGGATATTGGGGACTAGTTCAGAACGATTGACTTCTTCAAAATGTTGGTAAAATAATGCCCATTATGGTCTCCCAATGCTCTTTTTGTGATCATATTAGGCTCATAATTTTTTTGATTAAATTCATTTCTTCCAAAAAGAGAGCAATGAACAGTATAACTGAGAAATAGAAAATATTAATTTTCATAGAAAATTCAGGGTTGAGATTAAGCAGAATGAAGCACTTTTCTTTTATAACATATAACATAACATAATTCCAATGCAGATTTCACAAATTTTTCCATTAGTATTTCTATACTTGAAATCGAAACAGCATTTCTGGTGACCCTGTGTTGTCCAGATGCTCGAATTTTATACATTTCATGTTGAGCAGCTGGCAACCCTGTGTCTAATTAGGCAAAAGAATGATGGAAGTAAAGATATGATGCGCGTATTCGGCCATTATTCCGTATTGAAAATTTCAGACAAATCACTCGACCGCCTACTATGATTTCTCTACGTCACAAGGAGCGAGACGTTGATTCTACATTTTCCCGCTAGATGGTGATGCTGCTATTGCTGCTGTGACGAGTGGAAATAAAATTGCACATGGCATTTTAGGTACGTCAAACATATGTAACAGTGGAATTATTCAACTCTGAATTCGAAAAATTTGCTACAATTTCAAAACTGACAGATGTCATAATTGTGCAATGTCGCCATCTATTAGAAGATCGACGGAACCATTGCTCTAGCTGTTCTCGAGAGGTCGAGTAAAATTTCTGAAACAAAAGCGCATCAGTAATTACACCATATCTTACTTGCATCACTGGCAAAAACAAGGATTCCTGTATTCCAAGGTTGGTAGAACTAATTATAATTTGTATAAATAATCATCAGTTCTACCAACCTTGCTGTATTCGACACGTCGCCCCACCTGACGGCAGCAACATGAATACTTCTGAGTGGTTTGTGTTCTATGGGTTTGTTTGGATGATATGACCAATAAGCGCAAACGAAAAACAAATGTGAACCAATGAAAACAAAGTAAACATGCCGCTTTCATAACTTTCAAGAAATCGGATAGGTGGCGTACGCTTATAATAAAACGATCAGGTCACAGTAGAGCTTACAGAGGGCGTCAAACTGGAAAGATTTGATCTGAATTTGATCTAAATGATTGTTATAACCTATTTGATAGAATCTACAGGGCAAGACACCTTATTAGAAGTTGTGAAACTGTATAGATTGTTAATTAAGTAGCTATTAAGTTATTCTCAACAATCCTAACTATGTAGATAGATATGATCCTCATAATAGTCATAACATGAAATCATTTGAGTAGAGGAATTATACAGGTTTTCTAATTATAGGGGGAGGGGGTAAAGTCTTCCTTGAGAGACCCTGTATACAGCCTGGTTTATTAAAAATCCAATATAGGTACATCAAAAGTGACCTCTCATCATATGAGATGCTCCACCTTGCATATGGAGTGGAATTATCAGGTTCAGATGTCTGTTCAATTCTCATAGCAGGATTAATATAGATATCAGCATAACATAATTTGATTCCCATAGCAGGAATAATATAGGTATCAGCATAACATAATTATTTCAACACCATGTGGAATCCTCAATGGTGTTCAACATACCTTTACCTAAGACGTGAATAGGAGTGGTATAAAATGACTGCTACAATTCCTACAGAAATAGGTATCAACCAATACTTCCCATACCTGAAAAAAAGGAAGAATGAATTACTGAAAGGAACAAGGACCATACTTATCAAATGTTTTTTACTGGGCAGTCCTTGATAACTCCTCAATTTCCCTTATGTACTATATTATATTAAATGATAAATGTAATGAATATTAACAAAATATCAACAACAGGAAATCTGAAAGTTCAGTGGGTCCCTTACCTTTGTGATGTAAAATCGTCTACATTGTAGGTGGGCAAGTTTTTCTTTTTCTCAACATAAGTGGTATGTTCAGATTCAATCAATTCACCAATCCTGTATTTCTGCATCAGCTCCCTGGCATCACTTGAATGACCAACATCTTCAAAATCCTCTGTACACTCTTGCCCTGCATGTTCTAGAAGTACCTCTTCTCCCCCAGGATGCTGAAAATACAAATAGACACTAGTTTTTGATGGGTATGAAATTGGGGAATACATCACTAGCAGTGCAATTTACCTCCAGCAAATAGGAAGTCACATCATATACATGATTATTAATGACTAACCAAGTACTGTTCTTGTCATTGTGTTTTTTTACATCTGCCAACGAATATTGTGTTGTAGTCATGTTATAATTAAATTAATTGAATTAACTTCTGAAATCTGAATTCCAATTTTCAAAAACCCTACCTAACCTTACCTAATAGACAAGAAAAGAAAACAAGAAACAACACTTGACAAAACCACAGAACAAAACTGCGGGTGGCGGCACTTGTCAAATTCCAGCCTTTTCATTGGTTCAAGAATCTAAGCTGGATTTGCTGCAGAGCGATTTCGGTTTTCGCGATGGTTCTGCGATATTTTTATTGATCAATTCAAATTTCCCGCATCGTGATTAGACCTATCGTTAGATCGTGACATCACAACAGAACCATGATAGGGTATCGCTATTGCGAAATCGTTTAGCAACGAACAAGCCTTTATAACTACTTATTTTATGGTACCAAACTTAGATCATACAGTATATTACTATGGCCTTGAGGGAATAGAACTTAACATATTAATTAGATCTATGCATATTATAAACGAATTAAACCATGGGCGTCATTTAGGGGCGGGGCAATTGCCCCCCTTGATTTTCTAGCAAAAATTAATCCACTTAGATTCTTCCTGTAACCACATAATATGCATCATCAGTAACTATTGTATTAGTACTTAAAATATTATTTCAAAATTGTTGAAATATCAGTATAATATGATAAGAGTATACTAGAGTGTGAATAATCAAGGGTATCATTCATAAAATATACCTGAATAAGGAAGCAAATTTTCGTAAAATGTAAAAATAATTAAAATATACTGATGATTAACTTATTATTTCCTATTATCAGTGATATATGATGGAAAAATGCAAGTGAATCTCTCCAAATTATTGAAAAAATGAGTCAGTATATCCCTTGCTCCCAAAAGATATTTTTTTCTTGCTTTTTGATTGCAACAAACTGGGAACATGTAATTGAATTATGCATGATATAATATATGTGATGAAGTTGTTGTCAGTCTTGAAGAAATTCAATTTTCGATTTTCTCAAGGCATCTCAAGGTATTTGATCTTTAACCCCAACAAAATTTTCGCCTACGGCGCATTTTTATCGTACATAATTTTTGTCTGAGTTTCTTGATCGTCTTCCTGGTATACACTGAAATGGAGTTGTCACTCTGAAAGAAATCTAATTTTCAATTTGAAGCCACCTGAAACCCAGAAAAATTTCGCCTGCGGCGAGTTTCCTATTGCAGCGTCATCTAATGTCCTTGGCAACCGCGGATTAACTACCTAACCGCATTGAATCTTCACTTCAACTTTTATTTAGACCCATATCTTTGATGACAAAAATATATATTGTAAAATGTAATTTATTTGAACTTAGTTTAAACAGCTTAATTTCAAACAAACAGTATAATATATTTCATGGAATAATAAAAATCATAGATACATTTTATCTATGAAAATAACTTCTATAATAATAATTGTCCTTAGAAACCTTAAATGCTTTTTTGGGAAAGTCCTTTCACGACTCAATCTATGCCTGGAAATAGGTACGGTACAGAATTGTGGCCAAGATTCCCAGAGAAATTGGGATTATCCATGATTTGAAAGAGCTGAAAAAAAAAAAAAAACTAAAAAATCATGACAACAAATGACCTGAATTTTCATTCATTTATTCAACATAATATAACAATCTTTTGACTTTATTGAAATGTGAGATTGTGTGCCTTTGAGGCTCTGAAACCAATACGAAAATTAGTTATAACTGGTTTTATTCATTCTCACCTCTGTGATGAGGTTGAAGGACTATCAGAGCTGTAAGTTCCCCAGTCAATGTTCTTTGATTTGACTGCTTTGCGTTCAGATTCCACCAATTCTCCTATTTTGTATTTTACCATCAGTTCCCTAGCATCGCTAGAGTGGCCTACATCTTCGAAGTTTTCACTGGCATCTTTGCCAGCATTCTCTAGCAGCACTTCCTCACCTCCAGGATGCTGAAGAATTCAAAATCATATTTTTTCATCAATAAATTGTATAATGTGTACATCATGAAGAATGGCTGAAAGATAACTGGACGTCAGGTTACTGAGGAGGGTTTGAAATCCGAAATGAGTTGATTCCAATAGTCATAAAATCTGTTTGTGAGATGTGAGATATATAATTCCCATATCACTGATAGGAATGAATTTTTTGGAAGTTCCAAGCTCATCAACAACAGAGTTTATACAAGTACACTTCTCCTATACATTTCAATTTTTATTCCAATAGGCCTTTTCATATAGATATATTTTTAAGACGCATGCGCTCGTTTTTAGATCCAAAAGTTTATTGGGTAATGCGAAGCCTCATTGGCTATAGTTCCAACACAAAATGCTGATTGGCCATATCGAATATGGCGGTATTATATTGACGTTCTGTCAATTGTCAACAGTGTCAATCACCATGGGCATTCGTCAACAATAACAACATAGTTTTTTTTTTATATTCCTGGTGTGTATTGATTGTATTAATAATTTAATTCCAAAAAACGTTACTTATTCGTTACTGAGGAGTGTGGTACTAACTGTGGTCTAAGTGTTTTGGTTAAAATAGCCGCCACTGTCGTTGGATGCGAGATGTAAACAGAGATAGTCATTTGTCATCTAAATGAAAAGGCCTATACTGAACATAATAATATTGGTAAGTTATATTTTTATATCAAATACATTATATTATTTATCAGATTTGAGAGATTGTCAATTCTCAATTTCAAAGGATTTTTATTTTTCATGCTCTCCTTTTGGATGTTCAACAGATATAATTCAATGTTCAACGTGGCAAATAGCCAGGAAACTCAGGAAAGTAGTTGTTTTCTGTTGAATATTCAGAATGATGTTATGTTTCGTCAGTTAGAAGATGTTATCTGTGTTTGGAGAATAATGGTAATTTGTTTGAACATTCTCTATAATTTTAGTTCGTTTTTTCGAATTTCTAGTAAGTAGTTCTTACTAATTTGTTTAATTAATTGACATATGACGTGACCTACCTACGTATATCTATAAAGTTTTTAAATCTTCAATAACGTGATTTTCATTTAATATTTCGAAACACGGATAATAATAGCCTACTACCTATACCATACTGTGCGGTCATTTCACCGCCTACTACACCAAAACGTTCGAAATAATAATAAGAACCATTTTTTCCGATTCAAATATTGCAGAATCATTATGTGTCATACATCATTGTATTGGTAATGAAATATGCTATTCAATACAGGGTATACTTTTTTACGGGCCATATAAAAAATAAAGTTGATGATGGTTTCTCCGAAACGAAACGTCGTACGGAAAATCTCTCAACGCCGTTTTGTAGAGTTGTGAGAAAGTGTCTTTGGTTTTTCTATCTATCTTTAAACAACATCAGGAAAAATAAAAACGAAATCGGCATATTTCGGTAATTTATCTGAGAATCTTGCCTTTCAATAAATTGTGCCTAGTCATTCATACAGCAACAACAGTGTGATGAGAATGCCAATATGAATAGAATTATAAATCACTTCAAGATCTTCAACTTGAATATATAAGTAGGTACTGTTGTACATACTGAAATGTTTAAATTGTAAAGTAGGTATTTACTGATAACAATTTATCTGAGTTGAAAATACACTAAATATATTAATAAATATAGATATAATGGCTGAATACCATACTTGCATGTGAATCATATACAGGGTGTTCGAAAACTCAGTATCAAGATAAAAACGCCAAGCTCGAAATCCTTTATTCCACAGTTATAAACAAACGAAATTGTTAGATAACGAGAGAAAATGAACTATTGTTCTGGCTATATGCCATGCATAACATTTTGAATTACATCCTCCCGAAATCTATGCAATAATTCGTACAGACGAATAAAATCGACACTTTATAAACTCATGATGTACTTCAATGACACATTTTAAGCTAGAAAATTCAACAGGAAATATGATTTTTATGGCGAGTTTTTCCTATTTAGTGAGCAAGCATACCAGATGACGGCCATTTAATCCATAAATCCAAATACGAGATGTCAAATGTCAATAGATCAATAGATTGCTTTGGAAGGACATTACACACGCCATTATTTCAAATGATATTCTTCCTTCTTTTCACTAAACATGGACATATCACAAGAAAATCATATTTCTAGTTGACTCATATAATAAAAAAAATGTGTGATATATATGAATTGTCCAATGATGGAAAAAGAAGGGCAAATTGTTCTAAATGCGATCCAGAAGACAGGCGGAAAAGAAGGTGAAATTTGTAACTTTATAGTGACATATCTCAATGAATAATGGTTTGTTCACATTTTCATTATCAAATTCGTGTTTTTCAGACAAAAATACGTAAGTACCAAAAAAAATTTCGGAAGAAAACCCATCGCATGATAAGTACAAAATTACCGATGATAAGTTTCCAGCCTACCATCTAAAAAATTATTTGGATTTTAAAATGTTCTTAGACTCTTATCAAACAGGAATGCAACAGATTATCTAACTACTAAACGGTACCCAATATCTGTAATTTTAATGAGGTGATAACACCTGTTTTGCTATCTACAGCTTATCTAGAGTACCTTCAAATTATTGGAACTGATATGTCCTTTGTACAGATTGATATTTTCAATGATTTTAGAAGCAAGGAGAAATAATTAAACCCCAGACAAAATTCAGAAAAGTATATTGCTCCAGATAGATGGAAAATGTAAAATACTCTGGATCCCAAAAGATGATATAACCTAGTTCCATGTTCCATATCATAGGTAGTTTTTTTTGTTGGTAGAATAGGAATGAAAGTTGATTTTGATAATATTGATATAATAAAATTATTAGGTTGTATGATGATACTTTATCAATAATGAACCATGACCTCCAATAGATATCTGTTAAGAGATTAAAGTGTCCAGCCAGCAGCCATGAGTTCTTTCAAAATTCTGTACAGTCCTCATGAAAGTCTGTTATTATATATTATTATATTTAAACATGAATTCAAGAACACTATAATGAATCTCTGACAAATAGCAAAGGCATCACACCTGTTGATTGAAAATTTGAAAGCCCAATAATTATTATTGCACATTGGAACTTGAACTGTTGAAGTTCATCCTCATACCTCAACAAGAATCATCAATGAATTCAAAGTCATGCAGATATAATATTGCGTAATGAGGCTTCAATAGAATAATCACCTGGAATTACTAGAAACTTAAACAAAACATGCCTTGTCATGCAATCATCTAATGACACAACCTTGAAATTGAAACGTGTAGGCATAATGATATATATACTAAAATAATGTAAATATCTTATTGATTTTATCTCAATTAATTCGGATGCTTACCTCATTCAGAAAACTGGTCACATCATAGACGTTATTATGGATAACTATCCAGGTGCTCTTATTGTCATTGTGGGCCTTAACATCGGAAAACGAATATTGTGTGGTCATATTTTTAGTTGGAAAAGAAAGCCTACCAGCTTTTTACAACGTACTCGTGATTGTAAACCACTGTTGAAAGCACTCACAACGTTATGTATTAACAATTTAGCAACAGGCAACAGCCAACAGCTGAATAGCTGAATGATTCGATGATAGGATGATAGTGATGATAATATTTTATTTTTATCCTTGATCTATGAACCGGTGACGAAATTGAGAACACAATACACATCAACAAAATACAAATGCAAAAATGTTATGTCAACATTGTCTGTTGTCAACATGAACTGTCATGAACATGTGAATTTGACAATTAGTGTCAATGTCAACATTGTCAACGCAATTTTGCCAATGCAACAAAAAAATTTGATATACACTGCACGTGCACTACACCGGTATCTCTCTTGTACGGCAGCCACAGAACTACAACCGAACCACACCGACCGTATCTGCGGTAGAGATTGAAGTGCTCATCAGCTCATCTCATACTCAGTTCATCATTGGCCTGATCGTTTGAATTGCTGAAATTGATTATACAGTATATAGTCACTCTGATTATATATATCCTTCTTCCTTGCATGTAATTTCCACTGACCAACAAGCCAACAACAAACATAACACGTTCCAGCATGTTCTGTTTCGGTATAATGTGGTTTCGGGTTTCGGTACCCTGTACTCCACACTCCACTACTCCTGTTCTGAATTTCTGTCAATTCTCATTTCTGATATTGTCATACTGATATTAGTGTCTGTGCTTCCGTGAGTTCAGTTCTGAGTTCTGTGTTCTGTGTCGGTTTATGAGAGTTTTGAGGCTGTGGCGCTTTTCTTATGGCATGTTTATTTTCAGAAAAATAATGATTTATTAAACTGGTAGTTAAATCACATTTTTGAATGTAAACTGTTTTCATTTGCTCTAAAAACGAGACCATTTGAATTAGGTTTTGGTATTCCAGCTGGAGTAAATGTTAGTATGGTGAACAATTAGGTTAATCAAAATACCTTGAAAGTATTTCCTTGTGTAGGAGCAGTACGACCATGATGCCAATTGGGGGAGCTCCTCCGGGACATGGTACGAATAATATACCACAAAACACTTCCGTACAAAGCGCCAGTTCATTAACACCTACAGGAGGATCTAGTAAATCAAGTAGCAGTCTGGTAAGATCATCATTTCACATGAAAAGACAAAGTACAGTGTAATTCATTATAGAAACCCAATTATTCATTGAAATTCACCCTTGCCGGGCATACAAAAGCTGTGTCATCAGTGAAATTCAGTCCTAATGGAGAATGGTTAGCAAGTTCTTGTAAGTAGAATATACATATTGAGAATGCCTAGATGATGACAATTTTGTTTGTTCTAGCTGCTGATAAATTGATCAAAATTTGGGGTGCTTATGATGGGAAATTTGAAAAGACAATTTCAGGACACAAGTTGGGTATAAGTGATGTTGCATGGTCTAGTGATAGTAGACTATTAGGTAATATTTCTCTGATCATTGATTATTATTGTGCATTCAATTGATTTTTTTCTAGTGTCTGCTAGTGATGACAAAACTTTGAAAATATGGGAACTCTCTTCTGGAAAGTGTTTGAAGACATTGAAAGGGCACAGTAACTATGTTTTCTGTTGCAACTTCAATCCACAGTCAAATCTCATTGTATCAGGATCCTTTGATGAATCTGTCAGAATTTGGGATGTAAGAACAGGAAAATGTTTGAAAACCCTTCCTGCTCATTCAGATCCTGTCAGTGCAGTTCATTTCAACAGAGATGGATCTCTTATTGTCAGCAGCAGTTATGATGGTTTATGGTATTTATTCATTCTTAATGAGTCAACTACCATGACTGTTTGATATATTTTTAGTCGTATTTGGGACACAGCATCTGGCCAGTGTTTGAAAACCCTGATAGATGATGACAATCCTCCAGTGTCTTTTGTCAAATTTTCACCAAATGGGAAGTATATCCTAGCAGCAACTTTGGACAACACACTGAAATTATGGGACTATGCAAAGGGCAAGTGTCTCAAGACATACTCTGGACACAAAAATGAAAAATACTGCATTTTTGCCAATTTCTCAGTTACTGGTGGTAAATGGATAGTAAGTGGATCTGAGGATAATATGGTGTACATTTGGAACTTGCAGACAAAGGAAATTGTACAGAAATTACAAGGACATACAGGTTTGTCATCTTGGTATTCTTTGTACTAATGAAGGCACTGAATTATTAAATTTACACACTTTGATGTTTGGTGGACACTATGGAAACATTTTTCAATTTTTTATTTTTTTTTTCAGATGTTGTTTTGTGCACTACCTGTCATCCCACAGAGAATATAATTGCATCAGCAGCTCTTGAAAATGACAAGACCATAAAACTGTGGAAAAGTGATACTTGATCATAAGAATGTGTTTCCCTTGTTAATATTAAGATTATGTAAATTTGAGTATTTTTATTTAAGATGAAAATAGTGCAAAAGTTACTGATTTTCATATTCCTAATAAAGAGCTATGAAAACATTTTTGTAGAAAACAAAATGACTTGCTTTATTCATTTATTGAAATAAAGTGACCCCCTCAATTGTAAACAGTTTTATTAAAAATATAAATGCTCTATAACCTAACAGGTTAATAAAAATCATAAATAATATTTTTTGATAGGTACAAATATATGCATGCATTTATGGTAAAACAAGGCAAATCAATCAGAATAATCCATGGTTTTGATGTACTCTACAGCTGCGCAAAATTGAGTCCAATAATACCCTTCTTCGCCGACGAGTTGATCAACGTGGAAAAAGTTGTTGACATACTGAATTGTAGACAATAATGCTTCTGGGTTAACCTGAAAGAAAAATTATCGAATTTCCGTCTCAAGAATATTCTGTACACCTCTGATCGCAATTTCGATTCTCTACCGAAAAAAGATCAAGAAGGTTTTCTACTTCGTTTAATGTTCTGAAATTTTTTTGATTTGATTTGAAGGAACATAATACACTATACCGTGTGTCAACTATTAGACAAGTCATAACTTCTAGACCATTTGGTGTATCAAAATGAGATTTGGTATAGGTAAATGGTATGTGAAGAGGAGAGTTTTCACATATTTTTCACTTTCCGATCACTTCCGGTTTCACCGGAAATGGCTCCGGTTCTAAATTTTTAAAGGGAACACCCTGTATATTGTAACATTTTTGTACAAAAATATTTTGTGCAGAGCAGGTGGAGTAAACTACCTCATAAACAATCTGGCGCCCGGGACCCCCCCCCCCCCCCCCCGTCTAATACCAGAGTAGTCTCCGTCCTGAACAGAGCGCCAAAGTAAGGGCCACAGCAATAAAGGGTTCCATTTCTCCGCTACGCGTCGTGCATTAAACTTCACACGCGGGAGGAAATGGATACCTATATATAAATAGCTAAAAATAGTCTACCCAAATGAATAAAATCTATTAGGTACGTCACAAAATTTGAGTGTGAACTGAAGAAATATATTTTATCAATTCAACTCTCTCCTTGCATCAATTAATTCTGATTGTACTGTTGATATTTCATTGTATTGCATATTTTATTTAAAATGAACTATCTCATAAATATTTGGGGTTCATGTTCCAAGAATAATTTTAACAAAATATCTGTAATATACCGGGTGGCTACGGAAGTATTGCCTACGGAATATCTCAGTTATTGTATGAAGTAGGTTTGTGAAATTTGGAGCGTCGATATAATGCCATAAGAGCTAGAATTTGAGCATATTGACATGTCGAAGTTAACTTCCGGTCTGACCGGAAGTAACATCAACTTTCTTATTTTAAATGGAAACCCTATTTTTTTTCCTTTCGCTTTATTCAGCATTCAATTCCCTTTTTAATGACATATCACAAGTTGGTATCAAACCAGAAACTAGATCAGAAAAAAATTATTGAAATTCACCGAGTAGGCCGTGGAAGCAAAATGAAAGCCAAAAATTGAAAAGTTGGCTATGGAAACCATACGTCACTTGATAACAGTTGTTACTACTGTGATATTTTATTTTCATTCGTCGGCGTTATAAAAAGCCGCCAAAAAAAATATTGGAAAAATTGGGAAAAAACAATACTCTGTAGGTCCATAACTTAAATAGGAACATACGACTTTTTCTTGCCTGTACTATTCAGCATAACCATTCCTTTCTAATGATGAAATCGAAAGTCATTTTTTGGCTTTCATTTTGCTTCCACGGCCTACTCGGTGAATTTCAATAATAATTTTTTTCTGATCTAGTTTCTGATTCGATACCAATTTGTGATATGTCATTAGAAAGGGAATTGAATGCTGAATAAAGCGAAAAGAAAAAAAAATAGGGTTTCCATTTAAAATAAGAAAGTTGATGTTACTTCCGGTCAGACCGGAAGTTAACTTAGACATGTCAATATGCTCAAATTCTAGCTCTAATGTCATTATATCGACGCTCCAAATTTTACAAACCTACTTCATACAATAACTGAGATATTCCGTAGGCAATACTTCCGTAGCCACCCGGTATAAAAAAGCATTAAAACTACTGTATCGTCTTCCATATGTCACCCCATCAAATCAATTTTATGAAGAAACAAATACATTTTCTTTGGAAGAGCACTATCTAATAAATACTCTCAAAATTTCTTTTTATATTATCAACGAACACCTCAAATCTAACTTCATATTGGTAAGGAATTCTCAAATCCATGAACAATATGACTTGTTTCATCTTGATGCTGCTCATTCTACACTTGGTCAAAAAAAGTTCACTCACGGAGCTATCTCAAAATTCAATAAATTACCTGATGATATCAAGAGTTGCACAAATATCACCCAATTCAAAAGCAAAGTCAAGAAACATATCCTCTTGCAAAGAGAAAATCAAAAATGAGTGAATGATTTCTCAATCACTAATTTATTTCATCATGTCATATGTACTTCTCATGAGCTTTTTGTTTTCTTATTATTTTTTTTAATCTGTTGTTTATTTCAATAACTATAATTTAATTTAATAACTCATACCAGATATGAATCTGTCTGATTATTCATGTTATTCCATTTTAAATGTTAAATTAATATATTTATATTTATATGAGATGCAATATGTGAGAGAGTATCGTATCCAGGAGCTACGTACATATACGCCCTGTATAGTGATTCTAGATTAATGAGTGTCGATCAATTGATGGGGTTATGTAAAAGGTGACGGGTATTTTGGGTAGAATTTATCGATGTATGAGTAATATTAGGTTGTTAAGAAGTAGCCGTGATACGGCTAGGTTGTATCTGAAAAACCTATTGTGAATATAGTGGAAATCGTGGAGTACCCAGAGTGTTTCATTCTAATAACCGTCTACTAGAGCCCCTGTATGTATTTGACACTTTGGCTGTAACTGACAAATATATACAGGGAATTATACATACAGGGACTCTACCGTCTACCAAGCTAACAAATTAATGTAATGTTCATAGCAAAGAATGAAAGGAATGAATGAATAATAATTATATTTTCTTGGGACCAATAATAGCTATTTGTGTATTTAGAGCGCAAAGTGTTAGATTGCCGCTCGACAAAGAAAGTTACCGCGCGATGCGGAGCGGAGCGCGGTAATCTTTGGAGAGCGGCAATAACACTTTGTGCTCGAAATACACACAAGATTTTTTCTACTAACGCAGCTTTTGGAAATAACTACCCAGAAAGTATGAGCGATTGAAATAGTTGAAAGAGTTCTTATCCATATGTCCAAAGGAAACGAAAAAAGAAAAATTGAAATAACTGACAAGCCAGAAAAAAAATGTCGGGCCTACCGAGAATTGAAACTGGACCACCAGCGTGGCAACCTGAGCTTCAGACCTCTGAGCCATAGTACGATAAACTCTGCAATCAAATTGAACATAACTCATTGATGGAATAAAATAAAGATACATAAAGTATAATTCATCGTTTTCAACAGACATGCTTCATCGGGAGCTTCTTGTAGAAATTTGTTGCATATATCTTCAGCGGTGAATGTTTTGGATTTTTCTCGCTTTATATCCAATAGATTGTTTCTTGAGAAATGCGATAAGTTTCAGATACTCATTGATTCCGATATTATCTTCAACATTCAAGCATGTATACGTACCATCGAATATATAGACCAATGAGTTGATGACTTCAAAGTCTTTGATTTTTTACCAAAATGAGCCAGTAGAACGTTTTCTGAATACATATTCACCATCTCGGAGTGGCACCAATTTATATATTGTAATTCATATTTATTTTCTTCCTTGATTTCTCCGGTAAGAGATTCAAACTCTTGCGCTTTCTGCTATATCGGGAGGTGTGTTTGATGATTCACTGTCACTATTTTCCATCATGAAAGAATTGGGGGTTTTCAAGAAAAGATAAGTATAGGTTACAGAGATGTGCGAGCGTTTTTTCAATATTTCCGCTCACGAGCGCAAATGCTGTCAAAGAATGACATTTCTGGGAAAACGTAAACTTTGTGCTGGAATTTCAAACCGTCAAAGGCTACTTTGTTAAGCGTTTGTAGAAAATTGTTATACCTTGATTATCACGTAGACCAGCACGGGCATCAGATCGTCTGCGGTAGCCCCGCCCCCTTGCGTCGACAGCGCCAACAGGTGCATGACGCACTTGGCGCAGTGCACGACGCAGCGCATCTTGTCGCGGGGCGTGTCGCAGGCCCGCAACGCCCTCAGGGCGTCCTGCGCCGCCGGCCACGGGCACTCGCGCAGGTGCGCCCTGTCGATGAGCAGGTCCTTGTGGTCGGGCGCGATCGAGGTCGACAACTTGGAGATGTGGTGTTGCAGGACGCTGGAAACAGAATAGGCAATTTCACTACATTTAGATACATACCTAATGACTCCAATCACTGTTTTCAGCACAAAATGGCAAGTTTAAATTTTCTAGTACACAGATTGATTTCATTTCCTCTCAGCAAAGAAAGATTCGATGCTGAAAGAAATGTTGTTTATAAAGTGGCTGGCGTCAATGGGTATGATATCAAAATAGTAGATAAATTAATACGTAGACATAAATTTAAGTTAACACTTCGATATTCTACGACTTTTCAAGCGGATAAAAAGAACTCTAGAAGAATCCCAATCCCCTACAATCCCAAGTATACGAAGGGACTTGATAAGGTTTTCAAAGACTTAGGTTCTGAAAGCGTTCATCAGTCTGGATCAAAATTAGGCAATTTATTAGGCAATCCGAAAGATAAAGTGGACACACTTGAAAAGTCGGGAATATACGAAATAAGTTGTAATGATTGTGATAAAACATATATAGGCCAAACCAGGCGACCCATAAAAACAAGGTTCAAAGAACACATAGCCCATTTGAAATATGGCAGGTTAGATAAATCTTGTGTAGCCGAACATATGTTCAATCACAATCATAACACACATATTACTAACCTCAAATTAGTTAAGCAAGTTAATAACATTAGAAAACTAGACGCATATGAAAGCTTAGAGATATTTAAGAATATTAATAGAGTAATGAATAAGGATAATGGACCTATTCCATATAGCCCTCTATATAGTTCAGTAAAATAAAAATTTAGATTAACATGTGAACTCAACCATGACAAACATTAACTTGACGGTTAGTATTTTTCACAGTTGGGTGAACATATACCTAGTATATAAGCAGCACACTAGAATAGGATATTTAGTTTTAATCTTCTCCTGAAGATGCTAACATAGTTAGCGAAACACGTGTCGAGGCGTTAAAAAATCGGTTTGGTTAGTGGTAAAACAGTGTAGTGTATTATCGTGCCAAAGGTTCCAGTCTTCGATATAATTTCACTATGATTGAAACTAGCCCTTTTTATATGGCGAACGGTCTCATACATGACTCAGTAAATCGAATAGCACTTCCTCTCATCTGTTGATTCCTTTACAACCGTTTAATTAATACTTCAAAAGTCCTACAAATTGGGAGAGTTCCGACCATTTTTCGCGGTGTGACGTCACTTGTATTTTCTTGAGGCTCCCTCTGACGACCTAAAGAGGATACGTTGCACAAAACCACAGACACAGAACTCGAGCACAGCGTGGTTGGGTGATCTGTGACTCGAGAGAAAAATGGCTACAAAACAAACTATAGAAGAAGAAAAAGATCAACCTCGAAATCTAGTTCATATAGTTCATTATTCCATTTCATTTTCAGTGATCTATCAGTGTCATATTAGTGATATTCTTTCAATTTGAATTAACTGAAATATTTCACTTGAATTGAACTGAATCAGTTAATATGCGTTCTTTCAGATGACGTTCATTGCATGTCTACTGATTCAGTTCAGTTCAAGTGAAATGTGACAGAGAATATCACTATTATAGTTTTTATTGAGTGACAAATACAATGAGAAATGATGACAAGACCAAGTGACAAAACGAATTACCCAGTGTATGACGCGGTGTGACGCACCTTGTATTCGCCCAATGAAATGTCATCAATATTTCGCGCGCATTCGAGCTATCGTTTGAATTTAGGTTCAATTTAATAATTTTTTCTGGGTCAACCGCAATCGTAAGGAATTTGAAAAAATGCTGAATTCACCCAGTGTGTTCTAAATAGTGAAAAAAAAATTCAAAAAATCATGGTGAAATTCCCTATTGCATTTTTCTACAAACGTCAAAAAATGACAAGGTTCGCGCATTGATAACAAATTGCGAAGTGACACTTTATCAAGGGAGGAAAGGTATCCATTTCCTCCCGCGTGTGAAGTTTGATGCACGACGCGTAGCGAAGGGCATTAAACACACAGGTTATATTGACGCCAAATGATGCATGCTGAGGCTAATTTATTTTACCTCCCACGGGAGTTAATATTTTTGTTCTCCCGTGGGAGTAATTTGACAATTTTGTTTAAGGGAGCAAACGCCTACTTTCGATTCAGTGAGTAGATAAATTGATTTTTGCAACTCTTCTCACGCCTTTTTTATGTAAATAATGGGCCTATGCCTTGTTCGAAATTGTCGAATTTCAGAGCTCGTTTCAAACATACCGTCATGGCCGCCATTTGGCGATACATCGAATAAATGTTGACGTCAGTTTTTATGCTGTTTCGTTATTTGCCCGATATTATTCCATTCCCACTTATGAAGCAAGATTGCCAAGTCAATTATAATCAATCGAAAAGATGTTAGAGTCCTGTTGTTGAATAAAACATGATAGAAGGAATCCATGAAATCAAAGTTCATTCTTGACTTTCGAGCAACCAGCATGTCTAAATATTTCTTTACTCCATGACAATATATCTTGTAGACGTTGGAGACTTGACAACATTGTGCTGAATGCTGAGAACTGACAAGAACACGCCTACAATTCATGCGCCGTGTTGCCACGTTTACAGCTTCAAATGTTGAAGTGAACTGGTTTCAGTTAAAAATGTGGGCGCGGTGCCAGATGTGTGAATATGGCCACAAAATATTCTCACATGATTAACTTGCCTCGGCCAGAGACAATCCTTCAAGGTACAGTCGTATTCAATAAAATAGCGAACAAGTATTAAAAAAAGAGAATTTCGGGATCCTAGTTCTAGTTGTGTTAAACTGGCTCAGCCAACGCTTTGTGTTTTTGAGAACCTATGACAACTTTACTGTCAACATTTGTAGAGTCACTGGATGGTATGGGTTGCGTGCAAGAACTGTCAGATGACCGACACTGGAGGCAAAACATTGAAACACAATGTCACTCTTCTTATTTGTTTACAAGTGATGGAAATAGTTTTTCACAATTATTTTGGCATACGAATCGTATTTTTCCGCTATTCATCAATTCGCTCATGCCATCACATTGTGCTGTTGTAAAATACACAAAAACTGCAGCGGAAGATGAAGGAATCCGGATGGTACATTATGATTATAGAAATACACCTGAAATTTCTAAAATAATGCAAGAAGATTGGATTCATGCAATCAATCGGGAGGACTGGTCTGACATGCTGTCATGCTGACGATCGTGTGTGTTGTAGACATTTTCAATCTATTAGCAGTATTAGCTTGTATTGCAGGAGTGGCAGAAGGCAGAAGGAATTTTAATAAGGAATGACAACATTTCATAATGATAACTATGTGTGATTACTATTTACCTGAAAAATCATATTCCTCAATCTCTTGCTGCATTTTTTGTGCATTGTACAACAGCACAATGCGAAGGCATGCTTGAATTAATGAATAGCGCAAAAAAAAACGATTCGTATGCCGAAATATTGTGAAAAACTATTTCAATCCTTTGATTCCTCTGTAACCAAATAAAAAAGTGAGGTGTGGTGAGGTTGTGTTTCAATAATTTACAGAAGAATGAGGTTGTGTTTCAATATTTTGCCTCCAGGGTCGGTCATCGTGCACGCGACCTATTAGTTTGATGAAACATTTGGTAAACAATCATTCCCGATAGCCCGTTTTATGCAGAACAGGGTGACGTTAATTTCTCTCTGTAATATAATGTATGCTTTTTTTTTAATGCGACTGTATGTTGCAGCCTTGGTCTACAAATACATATTTCCAACAACCGATTAACATAAGTTTCTTTCTTGATTGATTGATTTACAGTGAACCAAACGAAGAAGAATATTTCAAATTGAAAGTACTCACCGATCTCTATCCCTATCACCGTCACCATTAGGATAGATGGAGTATTTGTAAAATTTCTTCATGATGAACCGCTCTAAAGTTATCTTTAGTATATCTTCCCTGTTCTGAACAATACCTGCAAATAACATCAATCATGTTGCATGAAATTGTTTAGATTTTTGTTATTATGTATGAATCAATTAAAACAGTGTAAGCTTGTAGCATTCGAGTATGAATGGAATAAAATAGAAATTGAGATATCTGTACAATTCTTGAAATTTCCAACACGAAAATTCGAGAATAAATTTTTACCTTTCCAAAACGGATTCGATTTCATGATGTGATACAGCTTGAGGTGAAAGTTGTGCAAAAAGTGGCACTTCTCGTCCGACAAACTCAGCTGCTTGAATTCCTCGCAAAACTCAGTCACCAGAGTTTCCTGTTCCCTCAAAAATTCCCGAACACAGACGGTCGCCAAGAATTTTTCGCACTGTCTTTTATCGTGGAACACCTGATCTTGCAAGCTGAAACAAAAATATAAACACACTTGAAGTGGCGATAAACCCTTCTTTTCAGTACCTCAAATTTGAAGTTTACAACGAAAGATTTACGAAATTGAATGTTCAACCATTGCTCAACGACTCAACGACCTTTGTATAACCTCAAATGTCAAATGGTTGGCAATATTATCTGTTGCGGTTCATCACTTTTTACCTTTGATACAATTACAGAACTATCAGGAAGAAACAGTTTGTAGATATCTGTTGATAGAGGTTGTATACAGAGCGTATAACATATCAAATAGTTATCAAAACTCAGACACGTTTTCTAACATTGTTAGTCAGTCAACAGGGGTTTGGCTATTGTTCTAAATTAAAAGGATTGCAAGACGAATTGCAATTGTAATATCAATCTTTATTTCATTATTGTATACAGTCCACTATCTATCAAGCATCGAACCTGTTGGTCCTTCGAGGCGGATCTATTCATATCGAACCTTCAAGAGTGCCAAGTTCTTCACAAAGGATACAAAGCAGCACTCGAGACTAGCTGAATTAACAGTGAATACCAATCAGCTAGAGCTTTCACAGGTAGCAATAAGTAGTTCAAGCGAACAGAAGTTGTTAACAATAATAACAATGCAATTATAACAAAGTCATATTTGAATTGCATTATATTTCTGCAATCTCATATTATCGGGTCATTAATTATATGCGAATAGAGCAGCGTGGGTGAATATATTTTGTTTTATTGAAGAGTTAGCAACATCTAGATGAAATGAATCATGTAGTCTAGTTTGGTGATCATGATTATCATAGTTTCTTGATAAAATAAAATTGGATTCAAATCTTGTATTCATCATATTGTAGAACTTCTCATATTTTCAATTTTGAACAATTCATCTAATGAGAATGTTTTTGTTATTTTATATAATTGATTTGTTGATGTATCACATGGTGAACGATGCAGTACTTTGAATATCTTTTTATATAATGCAGATATTTTATTGAGATTGTTTTTTGAACAGTATCCCCAAACATTTTTCAAATAGTTGATGCGACTGAGTATATTTGCAGCTTTTTTATCGAGTTTGGGACCTCCAGTAATATGAGATATTTTTTTCGGCGATATTTTTATGTTTGCTCCACTTCAATTTCTCACCAAAACAAATATCAAGATACTTGTTACTACTGATTTGTTTCAATGATTTAATTTTGAGACCGAGATTTGAATTTTGTTGAACTTTTGAACTAAATAATTGAAATATAAAATCGAATTTTTTCACCTGTTCAGAAAACTGTCGCAAAACAAAAGCTCCTTCCTCGACGTCATCAAATACTGCACGTAGGTGGACCTCATCACGATGTCGTCCCTTATGGAACCCATCAGCTTGCGACACACGTCCTCGGCGATCAGGCTGATGCACCTAAATAAGGGAAGATGTCAAAATTAATAAATTAAATGTCCAACTAGAAATTATTGATGATTCCTATATTATCCTTCATTATTCACACCATTGTCTGCTAAATATGGAGAAAAAATCTAGTGAGCTGGAGTATCTGGTCTTCTCAAACAAGGGAAATCACCTACAGAGTTCTGTGGCCGATGCAGTAGTACCGCCATACGGTCAACTCGAGGAAACACTTATTTTAATTGTTTTCCTGTCAAACCTACATAACCTTGAATATCGTAAATGAGTTGTGGAATCTTCAGCGGTGCTCTCGGCAGTCTCGACCGGCGGCGTAGTTTGTGCAGCGAGTTTGAGTTCAGTTACGACATAGTCACGTAGTCACTCAGAAATTCAAAAATGGTTCATGTAACTCTCTTACCAACAAAGGCTCAAATTATGGAATTCTGTGCATATTGATCATGATAATGATGGCGTGAAGCGTGGGAACATAAATAGTGAAAATGCTCGGAAAGCAGTGGCTCGAGCAGTGATTCCGATTTTATGGTTGTACAGTTCATTTGGTGTACCTACTCAGCTGTGAATAAAAATTGTGGAAATGAAGTTTTTCATCAGAAATTAGCAAATATATGGCTATAATAGAAGGAAAGGAATCATGATTATCTTACTTGTAATGAGCTTGTAACACTCAATATCGAATGTATCCACATATATTGCAAATAAATACCACTTGGAAATCCATGAATAGGGACGCTTTCACATTTTCTGGTAGGCACAATTGAGAGACAGACTTTGTAACAAATTATCAATCAGAAAAAACCACTATAATACTGGGAGCACAACACAAAAATATATAAACGGAAGGAATATTAGAACAATAATGTGAATTGAGAAAGAGGGATTTTTTTAGGCAAAAATACGTCAAGTCACGATGACACGGCAGCTCTTGACACTGACAACTTACATAACCACAAACATCGAAAATTTTCTAGAACAAAGTGAAAATCATTTCGTCCGATACGGTAACATCCTCTGGTGGTCATACACTCAACTGAGCTATAGGGTAGACCAGTTACAGCTCACTAGATTTTTTTCTCCATATTTAGCAGACAATGATTTACACTAACGAGATGTTTTTTTTTCATTTATTTTCCTTTGAACGACAAAAGTACATTGGGTATAGGAATAGTCAGTCTAGAAGAATACATTACAAAGTAATAAGTCATATGGAAACAGTGAAATAAAAGATATCCAGTATGCTGGACAGTTCTGACTAAATAAAATTCATCAATGGAGTAAAAACAAGAACAGAAACAATTTCAAACCAAATTTGAATTGTTTAATATCACAAGATGTTTTGATATCATGTGGTAGATGATTAAATATTCTGGGGCCTAGTTAATTCGGAGAATTGTGTTATTTTATACCTGGCAGCATTTCATTTTTCCTACGAGTATTGATATTGTGCAAATCCTTATTTGATTTGAAATCGTTCCTATTACTGTAAATATAAACTGCTAGTTCATAGATATATAAACTAGCAAGGGTTAAAATTCCATGAGAAGTAAAGATGATTCTACATGAAGACATTTTGAATATATTTTTGTTTGATGAAGACATTTTTGGCTGAGGTTGAGTTGCCCCACAAACAGATGCCGTATCTCAATCTGGATTCAACCTCTGCATAGTATATACTACAAAGTTGTGTTGTGTCTAGAACAGTTTTCAAGTTCCTGATCATATACTGAACAGAATTCAATTTAGAAATCAAAAGTCCACAATGTGCATGCCAATTTAGATGTTCATCTACATGCAAGCCCAAGAATTTAACAAGTTTATCGGTACTTAATAATGTTGTATCATTTATATTCACTTGTGAAGAATCAATTCAATTCTGATAGTTATGTAATCGAATAATTTTTGTTTTCTGTGAATTTAAGAGATGTGTTCTTTGCCGAAATTAGTAAGGCTATATCATCCGCATTCGCTGTAAGTTTGGAAATTATGATTTCAAATTCGAGATAATTGATGTAAAACAAAAATAGTATAGGCCCTAATACGGACCCCTGAGGCACCCCTAACCGGACCTGCCCTATTTCAGAGGAAAATATTCATTAACTTCAAATTTAAGAGAAACACTACTATTATTCAGAAAGGAAGAAACCCAGTTATTCGAGATTCCTCTCACACCATACAATTCTAAGTTATTCAATAATTTCACGTGGTTGACGGTTGATTACTCAGGTCACATAATATTGCAGCTGAGCATTCACCAGTTTTAATAATCTCCACTAATTCAGTTAAAAAACTCACCAATGCAGCGCAATGTACCATCCTCATGAGAGAAATGAAGCCTGAAATTATTTTCAGTAGGGTGGCGGTATCTATAAGCGACAAGGTGAACTATTTTTTGTTGAGTAGCGAGTAGAATATATTCGAAGTCTATTTTTAGATGTTTTTATGCAGGGGGGAATGTTGCATCAGAGCCGAATTGAAATATTGTCATTATTCAAGTCAGAATATCAAAGTTAGTGTTTTTTCTGCTTCAGAAAGGCCTAGATAGTGCATCGACTTGCAGTAAGACGGGCTTGAGCAGATTTCGAGAGTATAGACAAATCGCTGCTGAGTTTTGCTAGCGCTGGCTACGAACCAGCCAAGAACTAATGCCAAATTTCGTTTCAACATTTTATATGGAAGTGGATCATCTTGGTAGTGTAAATAATCTAGGGTCTAGGGTATTATTGATAATAAACGGTGTGTAAAGCCTGTGACGTAATTTACCTTATTGCCTCAGAGATTCGAGCCACCTCCGACCATTCTCGAAGTCTTCGCGCCTTGCCCAGCTCTAGTCGTAACACAGTTTCGATTTTGTTCTTAGTGTTAATGGGATTATTCTATAAAAAAAATACATTTTCAGTCGAAGTGCTCATCACAAAAGTTTTGATCTGCAAAATCGATAATCACAAATAAAAATTGTATTCTTTGCCATTTTGAATATTATAGACATTATATCATATATTATATCGTTTCAACTGTGTTATAACCATGCATAAAAAAATTCGAACAAATAATATTATATTGTTTTGAAAAAGTGAACTTTGTCAAAATCACTGATATGAAAATGATCCAACGTGGCCAATCATTGGTATTGAAGTCAGGTACAATTTCAAGGTGAATAGTTGAATAATAATTAATATTGTCTTACCTTAATATAATGTGGAATTTCAGAAGTATTGCTTAGGACTAAACGTAATTTGTTCTTAACATCATTAAAGCTATTGATTTCTTCACTATTACTATTATATACAGTTTTTTCTTTTAGACTTTTACTCGGATCACAGTTTTCTTTTGCTGAATTGCTGTCTGGTTTTGTTCTATACTTTGCTAAAATATCATCTGAAACTTCTGAAAAAAAGAAGCAATAAAATCGCGAATTTGCACGACGCATCTGAACTATCATCCTGATTTTTTTTCCATGAACATTTGTCTAATTTACAGTTGCAACTGTAAATTAAAGTCTCACAGTCTCAGCGCATCGCGCAGCGTATATCTGGTAGTCTGCTGAGAAATTGTGAGAACTGAGACTGTGAGACTCTAATTTCCAGTTGCAACTGTAAATTAGATCAAGAGAACTTTTTTTCTACACATCTCCTAATTTACAGTTGCAACTGTAAATTGGAGTCTCACAGTCTCAGCGCATCGCGTGCTATCAAAGAATGAAAGCTGCCTATATCTGGTAGTCTGGCGAGAAATTGTGAGAACTGACACTGTGAAACTATAATTTACAGTTGCAACTGAAAATTAGGAAATGTGTAAAAAAAAGTTTTCTTGTTCTAATTCACAGTTGCAACTGTAAATTAGATCAAGAGAACTTTTTTTCTACACATGTCCTAATTTACAGTTGCAATTGTAAATTAGAGCCTCACAGTCTCAGCGCATCGCGTGCTATCAAAGAATGAAAGCTGCCTGGTAGCCTGGTGAGAAATTGTGAGAACTGAGACTGTGAGACTCCAATTTCCAGTTGCAACTGTAAATCAGATCAAGAGAACTTTTTTTCTACACATCTCCTAATTTACAGTTGCAACTGTAAATTAGAGTTTCACAGTCTCAGCGCATCGCGTGCTATCAAAGAATGAAAGCTGCCTATGTCTGGTAGTCTAGTGAGAAATTGTGAGAACTGAGACTGTAAAACTATAATTCACAGTTGCAAACGGAAATTTGGAAATGTGTAAAAAAAAAGTTTTCTTGTTCTAATTCACAGTTGCAACTCTAAATTAGATCAAGAGAACTTTTTTTTCTACACATCTCCTAATTTACAGTTGCAATTGTAAATTAGAGTCTCACAGTCTCAGCGCATCGCGTGCTATCAAAGAATGAAAGCTGCCTGGTAGCCTGGTGAGAAATTGTGAGAACTGAGACTGTGAGACTCCAATTTACAGTTGCAACTGTAAATTATATCAAGAGAACTTTTTTTCTACACATCTCCTAATTTACAGTTGCAACTGTAAATTAGAGTCTCACAGTCTCAGCGCATCGCGTGCTATCAAAGAATGAAAGCTGCCTATATCTAGTAGTTTGGTGAGAAATTGTGAGAACTGAGACTATGAGACTCTTATTCACAGTTGCAATTGTATATTAGAGTCTCACAGTCTCAACGCATCGAGTGTTATCAAAGAATGAAAGCTGCCTATATCTGGTAGTCTGGTGAGAAATTGTGAGAACTGAGACTGTGGAACTCTAATTTACAGTTGCAACTGAAAATTAGGAAATGTGTAAAAAAAAGTTTTCTTGTTCTAATTCACAGTTGCAACTGTAGCTTAGATCAAGAGAACTTTTTTTCTACACATCTCCTAATTTACAGTTGCAATTGTAAATTAGAGTCTCACAGTCTCAGCGCATCGCGTGCTATCAAAGAATGAAAGCTGCCTGATAGCCTGGTGAGAAATTGTGAGAACTGAGACTGTGAGACTCTAATTTAGAGTTGCAACTGTAAATTAGATGTGTAAAAACAGTTCTCTTGTTCTAATTTACAGTTGCAAATGAATTAGGCAGAAGAAACTTTTTTTTTTCGAAATATCTCATAATTTACTGATGCAACTGTAAATTAGGTGTTTTGAAATGTTTTCTCTGACTAATTTACAGTTGCAACAGTAAATTAGGCGATAATAAAAAAAAAGTTTCTCCTGCCTGGTTCACAGTTGCAACTGTATATTAGTGCTAATTTATAGTTGCAACTGTAAATTAGGCAAATGTTCGTGAAAAAAAAGTTTTTTTAGGATGGCAGTTCAGACGCGTCGTAAATTTGAGAGCTACATGAAATTATATTACTATGAATATAATATAGTGTGTCCAAGATAAGGATGTCTATCATGGGGATCACGGAAACAATAAGAGATACGGAGATGGTTGAATTAGGGAAAAGTTGCACATTTTAAACCTAACAATATGTTTTTTAGAAAGTTTTGAAATTCCGAGCAGTTCCGGAGATATGCCTAAAAACCGAAATTTGCTGATTTCGTTTTCTTTTTTTCCTGACGATATTTGAAGAGATATAGAAAAGCAAAAGACTGCTTTGAGACTCTACAAAACAGCGTTGAGAGATTTTTTATAGGATTTTCCGTAGGACGTTTCGTTTCGGAGAAACCATCAACCGAGATCCACAATCTATTATCCTTATCTTGGACACACTGTATAGGATGTACCTGATTTCCTGAAGTGACAAAAGAAATTCTTTCCATCAAAATAGTCCCTGTAATGGTTCGATTACGATATACAGGGTGTTTCATAGCACTTATAATCCTATCGAGATTTCTATCGCATCCGAGGGTATTTGCCAAAAACTCGTATTATCAACTATTCTCATAGTCATTTGGAAGAATTTTTTCATCTCTTGGAGCACACGAAAGGAAATTCCTATGTTCTTGGAACATCGCGCGTACCTAGGGAGGATAGGGAGAGGAGGTAGGTGTTGGAATTTTTTAAAAACTTTTGGAAGTAATAAGTTCTTGGGAATACTTCAATTTGCAAAGAAAGCCAAAGCTTTGCCGTTCCATAGACGAAGGTGGCTTTGGAAAGTAAATTATCGACATTTTATTGTGTCCCTCCATAAAGATGATTGTATGTTTTTTGTGATCAATAAAATGCATTTTCGTATAGAGGTAAGTCAATTTCAATCAGCCTATTTTTGTCTCTAATTCACCCTGTAGAATTCATGATATGTTGTTCTGGGAAACCTTGTGTATCAACACCCTGTATTTAGCTCAGAGTTGGATTCAGTCACAACAGGACATCTATTCAAAACACCTTTTGAAAAAAAATACTGGTTATTTTTCTCACCCGAACTACTCCCCATCCGTCCGCCCCCCTCCCCCTGCCTCTTCCCCCCGTACTCCTCCCCCTCCCCCTTGAACTCCTCCTGTCCCCTCAAACTTTTGCCTCTGCCCTTCCTGAAGCCGATGCGCAACTTTCCGAAGAAGCCTCCCCTCTTCGCCCGCCCCCCTCCACCGCCGCCCCTCTCCTCCTCCTCCAGCCCCTTGTCGGCGCTCGTGTCGAAGCTGATGCTTTTGGGGATGGCGCCCAATGAGGTGGGGGGCTTAGCGGGGGGGCGAGTCGACGGGTTGGGTTTTTTGTTGTTGCTCAGCACGGACATCTCGCTGGTGCTCTGAAAATGAGAAATTTTTTGGCGTTGAATAAACGCTTCTAGAATTTTGACCCCCTTGAAAAAAAATTCGCACGCCTCTGTCGAAATATTTTATATCGAGCAGTATAGAATGAATTTTTGAATTTTTATCCCAGACCCCCTTGAAAAAAAAATGGTACGCCCATGAAAGTCCAAATTTTGATTTATTATCGATCAGTTTAGAATAAATTTTTGAATTTGCATTGCAGACCCCCTTATAAACAAAATTATTACGCCCCTGGAGTCGCAAATTTGATTTCATTTTGTACGATGTCAAAGGAACTACGAAATCAATTTTTTATTTCAATTTCAAGCGTCTGAAGGAAACAAATGGTTCGACCATGAAGCGACAATTTTGATTTTATTTCGAATAGTTTTGCAGATTAACAAAATTTTTCATGTTTGATCCCTCTGAAAAAAGTATAGGTACTCCTCTGCAATCACAATGTGAGTAGATTTTTTGTTGTTGCTCAGCAGGGACAACTCGCTGGTACTCTGAAAAAATTTTGGAAATATTTTAGTATTGAATTAACACTTTTGGAATTTGTATCCCCTTAGAAAAAAATCAGTGCGCCTTCGGAAGTTGAAATTTCAATATCATATCGAGCAGTATAGAATGAATTCTAGAATTTCAGAGTTTTTACTTCAGACCTCATTGGAAAAAATTAGTACGCCTCTGGAGTCGCAAACTTGATATGATGAACGATGTCAAAGGAAACTCCATTTATTTAATTTCAGGCTTCTCCGAGGAAAAAATTATTCAACCATCATTTCCAATTTTGATTTTATTTCCTATTATGTTGCAGATTATCCAGATTTTTCATTCCTGTCCCCTTCAGAACAAATAAATATACGCCTCTGAAATCACAATGGCTTTCTTTGTTGTCGCTTAGCAGGCATCTCGCTGGCACTCTAAAAAAATTAGGTACGCCACTGAAGCCACATTTTCAACTTCATTTTGGAGGTCAACAAATGAATTTCGAAATTTCGTATTCCTTTATAATGGATTTCGTAGTCGCAATTTTCATTTTCTTGCCGAAAAAGCCGCCCAGGCGGGCAAGGGGCTGTGTTTTTTGTTGTTGCCCAAAACAGATATCTCGCAGGTGCTCTGGAAAAATTAGGATTTTTTGCTATTGAATTCACTACTAGAATTTGGACCCCCTTGGAAAAAAATTTGATGCGTCCTTGGATGTCAAAGTTATTATTTCATATCGATCAGTATAGAATTAATTCTTGAATTTCACGGTTTTTGTTATTTCAGACTTCATTGAAAAAAAAAATGTACGCCTCTAGAGTCACTTAGATGTCCCCTACACTGAAAACTTCGCGTGGCCTGACGCGTTTGAACCAATGAAAATGCATCGGCTCAGCACGAGATCAAGCTGTCGGTCAAAAATGACTGACATGGCAGTCAGAATGTAAAACTTCATTTTTTCTGACTTTCTCTGTTTACCATGAACAGAGACAACTATGGAAACAAAATGAACTTTAGCAAGTTCAGCAACACAAACAAACAGACCTATCCAGTGTATGTAATGTATGTGGCTCATTGATGTGGCGATCTCATGGTCCTACTTTAGAACAATGCCACTAGATGGCGATAGCATGACTATATGAAAATGTAATAATCAAGGCACATGGTATCTTAACAGTAATTTCCAAGTTCATCCTGGAATCAGTATGTCTGATAATGAAGCATTCATCCTCTTTCGCCAGGCATGTATCTTCTTATATTACCCGTCGCTCCATCTGCAACTTAGATCTTCCAATTCCAAATAGTTCCCTAGCTAAGGATTCGATGATTTTTAATGGAATCAAAATGGTCGATCACTTGCCGATACATATAAAAAAAATTGAGGAACAAAAGGCATTCAGAAAGGCTGTGAATAGGTTGCTTGTTGAAAAGACCAATTATTCTTTACAGGATTTTTTTGACGATAAGCTCGGGGGATAATCAACTCCAGCTGATATTTCTACAATAATGTTATATATGTAATGTTTTGTTATGAGTATGTTGGGTTATGCTGTACGTCCATATCTACAAACTTATGTATCCACCTGTTCTTGTTTTGTTTGACAGGCTTGTACAGGGTGGGCAAAATTGGGCGTTTTCACGGGCTATCTCATAAACTAAAGGAGTTATCGAAAAACCGATATACATGTTACGGGTTCGATTTTAGGGAAACCCAAAATGGCGCATTCGGAATTTTGATATCTTCATTCGTTTCAGAGATACAGGGGAAAATTGAAAAATTACCGATTTCGTTTTTATTTTCTGTGTACTTCATGGTGGGGAATATTGGAAATTTTCGGAAGTTTATTCATATAGTATGATGCAAACAATCCATTGACATCATTAGAAATTTTATACAGGGTTATACAGAAATATTCGCAAAAATATATACACTCGAGGACCTAGGGGCAATAACTCCAGTGAACACTGCTCGCCAGCAGCTATGGAATCACCGATATTTCTGGTAAATGCTATCAAGAGGAAGAATATCGGTTGAAAATGACACTCTGTATATATTAACCAAAGGAGGATTTCTAAAAAACCATATATATCGTTGAGATCACCAAATTGCTGAGGAACTAAAGTTGAACTTTAGTTCCTAAGAACTAAATATGTTTCCTAGCAACATACCTATTTTTGTGTCAGTAATAGAAACGTCAATTCAATAGCTAATTTTGGTATTAAAATGGACGACTTTTGTGTCGGTTGCAGAAAAAGTATATTTTTGATTGATTGATTTGATAATACCGTGCGTCTAAATATTTAAGAAAAGCAACAGTAATATTACCTCAGATGGGGTGAGGGTGACGTTCAGGCTGCTGCCGGAGCTATTGAGCCACTGCTTGCTCTCCCACTTCTCCGAGCTCTTGTTCTCGAAGCTGTGGCTGCTCGAGCCGCTCGAGCTCGAATTGAGGCTGCAGTTGCTCAAAAGGATCTCGCTGGGACGCGCCGAGATCTTGTCGTTCTCCGTCATTCCGCTGGGGCCTGGACAAAAATAGCACAAACTTCAGATTCGATGCTCACTCTCGAATTCTTATTACAAGTAGAGTTCCTAAATGTACTTGACACTGCTGTTTTGACGTTTTTTGTATATTAGAGTACGGACACTAGACAAGCAGTGACAATCAAACATAACCACAAACGATTTTGAAGCAAATCATATATTTTGCCAGATAAGGACAAGAATATGTTTTTCGCTTAGATAAAGGATGCTCGCATCTTCCATCCTTCACGAGTCCTGGGAAACACAAAAATTCAGAATGGGGTAAAAACTGATAAATTCCAACCAATGAAACATACTTTTATTATGTATGGAACAATTTCACTTGTACAAGAGTGGTAGGTAATAAGTTATTAATAAATGAACAAATGATATGGCAACAAATGCAACAATAACAGCTGATTTCAGTTAGGATGGATAATAAAGGTTCTCCAAGACATATGGAAGTAGGTATAAATGCACTTCAGCGGTCAACTGACTATAGATCGCCGTTCACAATTCTCCAGTCCTTTTCTTTCAAAATAACTTCGAAATAAATTTCATTATCTGCTCGTTCTTCGTTTCTTGTTGGTTCTAAATTGAAATAAGGTTCTTTTCGATACTCGCTCACTTTATAAATTGTGGGTTCGGTTCTTTCTCTCAATACGATCATATTCTTCAATATCGAATCTTCCGTCCTGAAGTGTACCTGATAAAAATGCGTTGAAAAATGTTCTATATCCTACCAAGTTTGAATACCTCGCCAATTTTGTGGCCTGAACGTATATTCCATGCCGGCCGCATCATATTCTGTTTCCATTTTTGTAGAATTACGTTATCCGATGGAAATTCGAATAGAGTGAATTGATTTCCCGTGTTCTCACAGTTGGGAACTGCACAAACTTGCATCTTTCTCCTAATTCTCTCAATTTGTCAAACCTTTGATATTTATGTCATGTACGTCCGTGTACTGTCAGTTCCCGCTTTTTCCATCAATTTATTTGTGGTTATGTCTGATTGTCAATGCTTGTCATAGTGTCCGCACTCTAATATACTTACGAAAAACATCAAAACAGCAGCGTCAAGTATATTCAGGAACTCTAGCTGAATTCAATAAATTACCACATGATATAAAAAAATGCAGACATAGTTCAAAATTTAAAATTGAATTGAAAAAACACATAATTTTATTACGAAATTGATAAAATTGATACTTTGCCATCTACCTGTGGCTATTTTTTATGACTAATGATCGATTTGGCATTTTTAGATTTTTTTGTTGTTGTCACCCTATATTATTTTATTATTGTTGTTTGTAATCAACTTCCTCATACCAGAATTTTATTTCTGACTGGAAGCTAGTTTCTCAATAAACAATAAAACGATAAACAATTATTGAATATTCTTGAACCTTCTGGAACACTCTGAAGCCCCGCTTTTATTATATTGAAATGAATTACCTGGAATGTTATTCAGCTCCAAATCCTTGGAAGATCCGACATTCTTTATGGATACCGATTTGAAGACGGTGATTGTTTTGATTTCGTTGGTCTCCGTCAGAGATTGCGAATGTTCCAAAGTCACCGGTTTGAATACCCTATTCGCATTGTTGTCCGTCTGCTCTGTCTGATAAATCTTCCCGTTGATCCTACCATAAAGAATGAAAGAATGTATCACCAAAAAGGAATATTCTCAGATATATTTATGAACAAAAAAAACTTATATATATATAAAAAGAAATACATTGAGAATTCGCATTCTCCATGTGATGAAAATATTAATTCTTTCTCGGTTTATTCTAGACCAGAAAACAACTACTTTCCTGGCTATATGCCACGAATATTGAATTACATCTATTGAACACACACGATAAGAATTTGAAAACAAAATCTTCTGAAGTAGAGAATTTGCATTCTCCTTCATATAAAGATATGCACATAAAAACAAATGCCCAAATGACAGGAGTATGTCAACAAATCATAATAATTCTCAAATGTCATGAAATTAAAGAAAAATAATTTCCCTTACTTCATAAATCAATTTTGAATTCCAACTTCTTGTCATTCCAAATTGATTATTTCAAATCTCAATAACTCGAAAATAGTTTGCTGGCAGCAACCTCTACCAAGAATATATTTTTTTACACAAAAATGTTCTAGAAATCTGTTTTTCTACTATAAAACGTGATACAGGTACGCACAGGAAAGTTATGACTTTTCAAAAGACTCAAGAGGCACGTAGGTGAAGCCACCCCCACGGAAGAGAGAAACTAACATAAAATTTAATATTGTCATTGGAAAATACCCCTAGATACCAAACTTCATTCAAATATCACAATTATTTCGAAATTTATTGACAAAAAACTAAAATAAGAATTCAACTTTGACACTATGTATCTCAGAAACGCATAACTTTCGGACATATATTTATACGAACTTTTCTTCTTATATTGACGTCAGCAACATGCTCCTGAATTTTCTACACGTACTTAAGAAACACCCTGTATATCTAGGAGTTTGATATAATCAGTTCATTGACACGATCAAATACCTGTCGTTCTTGACGTCGATCTTCCTGTACTCCTGGAAATTCGACGAAGTCACGAACCGCCTCGTGTTGCTCACCGCATTCGGGCTGCTCACCGGCAAAAAGTTCGCATTCTGTGCCGCCACCCCGTGCTGATTGGCTACCCCGCCCACCGAGTTCGAATTGGCCATCGAATTGGTCGAGAGCCGGCGGGCGGGGCAGTCATCCGTGTAGTCAGACTGGGCGACGCCCACCGACCCCTGCTGATTGGCCGCCCCGCCCACTGTGCTCGTATTGGTCGAGAGCCGGCGGGCGGGACAGTCGTCCGTGTCGTCAGACTGGGCGACGCCCACCGCGTTGTGCTGATTGGTCGCCCCGCCCACCGAGTGCGAGGTCGCGATGGAATTGGTCGAGACGGCCGAGAGTCGTCGGGCGGGGCAGTCGTCCGTCTCGGAGCGCGTGTCGTCCGATTGGGCGACGCTGACCGAGTCGTCGTTGTCGACTTCGGTGAGGCGCTCGGTGTCTGACGTCATCACGTCGGTGGACCACGCGCTCTCGCTTTGGGTCTCGGAGAGGTCGAGAATGTTCGGGGCCTGAGAATTAATTATGTTTTTTCCAAATGACATAGAAAGTGGGTTTTTAATGACACTTGACCGGCACGAAAGTTGTACTTTATCTACTGTCTGTAGGTTAATCGAGGAGGTGGTATATTCATTTTACTTGATTTTTTGGGATTTTCTCTCCTCGTTTCTATAAAATAAAAATATTCTTATTATTTCAATATATTTGCAGTGGGACAAATCAGATGATTTGCCCCAAAATGTCACTGCGTTTAACAAATAGTTCTATCAGGGAGCCTATAAGAAAAATCGAGTAGCTTGTCAGAGACATTTTGTTTGAAAAATGTTTAAAGGAAAGATATATAGATAAAAGGTAGAAAATATATCGAATTTTTACTTATCTTTGAACGTTTCGAGAGCAAATTTCATTCAAATTACTTGAAACTTTGCGTAGCAACAAACTTTTCCTGCCTAGGCCGAGAAAGCTTACTTTTCCTGCCAGTAAATTCTCATAGAAAAGCCACTTTCTATGCCGCCTGGAGAAAACATCCATTTATTTTATCGATAAGGCGAACACAGACAATTTTTTGATATTGTCAAGAAGTATAAATGCCTATATGAATTAACATCACTCAAACTCTTGTTCATTTCCAGATCTTTCATCATAAATTAACTTTTCCAAATTGAAACATTCAGTACATTGTAGTTTCGATCAGGTCAGCGGAGGTCATAGACGTCAGTTCCTTTATAATTTGCAAAAAAAAACGCTCACCGTGCGATAACCGCTATCCGATTATAATGATGTGATATGTCTATGTCATAAATGCCATTGACAAATACAGTGATTTGATTATTATGAGATAAAAGTCAGAGTTATTATAATTCGGATACAAAAGTCAGAATAATTCTGTTCTGCAGCCACTCAGCCATCCTAGGTTCTCCACGTCTCGGATATGATCGACACCGTCTCTTCCCCTTCGGGCAAGCTTCTTGATCTCGAACTTGCATAACTTACAGAGTTATCCCCACCATTCACGATTTCATTCGTATATCCGTGTTTGACGTTTAGAATTGTTAGTGTACATTTTTCAATGATTTATGAATGAATCGCGGTGCCTATCTATCGTTATTGAGTAAGAGCCATGAAACACAAATGTACCAATGTCTGTTGTTATCCCCACCATTCACGATTTCATTCATCCATTCATACTTTTCAATGATTTACAAATAAATCGCGGTCCCTATCTATTGTGACTCACCTCCTGTATCGTCTCGACCAGCGGCAAAGACAACCGAGCCTCGCTCGCATCCAAAAACTCGTTATCGGACCCGAGCACGTCCGTGCTCCACGTCTCGGATATGATCGACAGTATCGACACCGTCTCGTCCCCTTCCGGCAACTTGTTGATCTCGGACTTGCAGAACTTACAGAGTTATCCCTACCATTCGCGATTTCATTCGTATAGCCATGGTTGGCATTTAGAATTGTTAGTGTACACTTTTCAATGATTTATGAACGAACCGCGGAGTCTATCTATTGTTATTAAGTATGAGCCATCATACGCAAATATACCAGTGTCTGTTATTATCCCCATAATTCGCGATATCATTCATTCATCTGAGTTTGGTGTTTAGGATTGTTGGTATATACTTTTCAATGATTCACAAATGAATCGCGGTGCCTATCTATTGTGACTCACCTCCTGTATGGTCTCGACCAGCGGCAAAGACAACCGAGCCTCGCTCGCATCCAAAAACTCGTTATCGGACCCGAGCACGTCCGTGCTCCACGTCTCGGATATGATCGACACCGTCTCGTCCCCTTCCGGCAGCTTCTTGATCTCGAACTTGCAGAACTTGTCGTCGATCTCGGAGCGGATCTGTCTGTTGAGGTTGGATTGGGGTTGCGAGACGGCCGGCGGTTCGGCCATGGCGCGGTCGTCGTTCTCGCAGACCTGCGAGCTAGGCGTGTCTCGGCCCGAGATGTTCGGGGTGCCCCTGCCTAAGGAGGAAAAATTAATTTTTGAGTTACTAGTCCATTCTTGGTCTTTTTTTCATGTTCTGGTTCCCACGAAAAGGATATCCTGTAATGTTCAGAGAATATCGTGAGAACCAAGGGAAATAAGATAGGAATTGGTGTTCTTAAATTTCTGGAGGTTATATGCCTCGGGGAACACCTCCCTTGGCAATGTGTTCCAGAGCCTCGCTGTTCGTTGGATGAACGAGTCTTTGGAACAGACCTATACACTAGCTGGTTAAATACCTATTAAAGAATCAGCACTCTAGCCCATCCTTGTTATTACCTGAAACGTTAGCAGACACCATATCCGACAAATTATCGTTCTGATCCTCGTTCTCCAGCTCGATGCTGCTATCCACCGAATGATTACTAGCCGCCTCCGAAATGGCCTCCAAATTATCGGAAGTGTTGCCGATCGAGCCCTCGTCCAGATAGGCGAACGACTGCTTGAGGTCCCCATTTTGAGGAGGAGTGTCAGGGATACTCCTCTCCACCTAAGTCACCAACCAGATATTTAAACGACCCTATATTATGTACAGGGTGATTCACCAGAAATGCCCCCCCCCCTTAGCTCACTTATTCTCAAAATTTGAAAAATCATCTGAAATGATTTTTTAGAAAAAAAATTCCGCTACATCAGAACTAGTACTAGTTGATTTTTTCATCACTTGGGGTCTAGCGAGAACACCTACCTCGTGTTGATTTTTTTTTGCTATGTGCATAAGCTGAAGCTGAACTGTGACACCATACCTACATGAACTGTTTATAATAATTAATATGGTGTTTGCACTGATGCGATTTTGTTTCGCCCAAACTAGACGGCAATAAACAATTGAAAATAGCAATATAAGGTTCTTGTTACATATTATTCTAATAGATGTCGCTGTACGAATTTCCTTTAAAATTGAAATATGAACTCAATTATCAGAATTTTATCAAACACTATCAAAAATGAACGCACACCATTTCTGTGTTTTTTTTTTGTGGTGATTGTTGTTATTTGGTCCGATGTCCATTAGAAATATGACGATATCAGCGCCTCTTACGGATTTTCTTTGAACAAGAACCTTATAAGTGTTGTCAGTTCTTCACATCCATGGCAACCATATTCTTACAAACATCTCAATTCGAACTACTGTGGTAGGAGATGTTTATTCGCGGTTTTCAAGGTCATTATGTTCAAAATATCAGTGAAATTGGTCTCACGAGTAAATATACCATGTATGCAGATGATACAGTACTTTTATATGAAGGCAAGAATCCTTCAAATTTAAAAATATGATAAATGAAGACTTGAAAATATCTGAAAAATGGCTCCACTCTAACCTTTTATCGATACATACTAAAAAAACAGAATATATGATTTTTCACCAAAAAAATAAACAAAAAATTTACTTCAACCTTAAAATGAAAAATGAACTCTTAAAACAAACTGACCAGATAAAATATCTTGGAATTTGGTTTGATGACAGGTTGAAGTGGGACAAACATATTGATGTTCTGACAAAGAAAATATCTCCAATTATTGGTGCATTGAGAAGATGTCCCAAACTTGATATTAAAATTGCAAACATGATTCTCTACTCTCATATACTGAGTCGTATCAACTATTTAATAAATGTTTGGGGAACTTGTTCAAAGAACAATTTCAATAAAATATCAACATTATATAGAAAATCGTTAAAAGTATTGTATCATCTACCATTTGATACACCAACCAATCAATTGTTTGAAATAACAAATTTCTATTCTTTAGATGAAATATATGGAATTGAAACTCTCAAAATATCACATAATATCATAAATAAAAAATTGAAGTCTGAAATTCATAATCATGAAACAAGACAATATAACTTGTTTCATCTTGACGCCGCTAGCTCCATTATCGGACAAAAAAGATTCACTCATTCAGCCTTAACTGAATTCAATAAACTACCTGACAATATAAAAAATTGCAGAAATATAGGTTCATTCAAAAATGAAGTGAAAAAATAAATTATCTTACGTGGCGATTATGTTAAAACTGGGAGAAAACATTCCTAACTTTTGGCATAGATTAAAAGTTAGGCATGTTTTCCCTCAGTTTCAACGTCATGACTTGTCCTTTTCTTTTATTCTATCATTTAATTATCATCGCTTTTTCGGTCTTTCCAATGTATTTTATTTGCTGCCATCTTTCGGTACGTTTCAGTACCTTTTCTATGAGAATTTCAGTACGCAGCGAAAATTGCGAGCGGGGCAGCCCAGCTCATTCATTCATTCATTCATTTTTCTACTCACATAACTAAAATGGCATTTATCGTACGGATATGTACCACGCTAAATGATCGATTAATCACGGATTGTCGATCTGTGATTTATTCAAAATATTAAACACGTTACCATGGCAACACGATTTCTTAAACACATCACCATGGCAACGCAGTTCATTAAACACAGCTTCAGTAATTCGAGACATGTCTGGCCTGTCAATTGTATATTAACTGTCAACTGTTATTTTCATATTTTGTATCAGAATTATTCAAACAATATTCGTTTGTATCAGAATTATTCATTAAAAATATATGCGAAATGTAGACGAAAGTGAAATCGAGGAGAATGTTCTGGTACTTGCATATCTCCAAGAAGTGTAAAAATGAAGCGTCCATCTTTCAGAACAATTTATTTATTCTGCGCTAAGCATGACAATAAACGTGAAACAAAGGTTAGTAAGCAATGGACTGGACACATCTACAACCAATATCACTTATACGTGTCTCGATGGTTGCATGCATCAGTTGCATCTATTATGTTCTCAATTCCCATTCCTTTCGAATTATTTTGTAGGTTAGCAGGAATAGCAGGTATGTTAATGTAATTTTAGGAGTTAGTAGAAAAATCATAGTATGTAACGCGTTTATAAACTCTTCTAGACACTCGTTTATTAAACACTCGCTCCGCTCGGCTCCGCTCGTGCTCAAACTACTCGTTACTAAAAGGACGCTCCGCTCTGCTACGCTCGTGCTTAAACTACTCGTTACTAAAAGGACGTTTATAACACTTGTTACATAATATACTATTATGCATTCACCTTGCATGCGGTCATGTCGAAAAGGTCGCCGTTCTTCAGGGGGGCGCTCAGATCGATGATTTTCTCTTCGGGCAGCAGGCCGATCAGGTTAGATTCCACGTTGTTTATGGGGAAGACGAGTATGGTGGTGGAGGTGGATTTGGAGTCGTCGATTTCCGGAGCAACTACGTTATTTTTGACACCTAGAATTTTATTTCACCATATTTGGATTTCAGTAATTGCCTTACATCTTTCAGCATTACATTTTCACTTTCAAAGTATATGTAAAATGAGCCTATAATTTTCAAATACAGGTTGTCAGGAGAGGTCATGTCGTGAATGATAGGGCTGATGAGAGTGAGCCAAAATAATGTTAGTACTTCATATTAAAAAAAATGTCTATCGCACTTCGTTACAGAGTTGTTGACCTTGGAAGTTTCTGCAAGTCCATACATAAGGTGCATATCTGCATACTCATACTCATCATTTCTAGTGATTCATCCATGGTGATACCAAAGTATTAAATTTAGTAAACATATTCTGATGTCAATTATGACGATGATGGTAGTTGCACCATGATGTTATTGAATAAATAAGAGTTTTTATTATATACCTTTGAAACGGTTGGGTTGGGATAAGGAGTTGGGATGTATGTTTTAATGTTAAAAAAATGCGATTTTCTCTAAAAGAGTAGGGGATATCGATTGACAACATTGACATTATTGAAGTAAGGTATACTATTTTTGTAGGAGAAAGATGAAGGAATCAAAAGGTGGAAGCAAAATGTAAAGTTTATCACCGTTTAAAAGTATAAGTTATTCGGCCGAGTTAGGTAGATTAGGTTGGGTAGTTTGGAAAAGGTAGTCTCCTTCCTTATACAGAAAAGAAAATTTTTCTCCAAGCGGCAGGGATACTGGCTTTTTCCTGCCGCTTAACAACCTCCATTAAGCTAGCAGAACCACTTCAAATTTTTCAATTTTTTCTTCGGCCATAATTTAAGGCTAATTTAAGGCTAATTTATTACCCTATTGCCGAATTTATTGCTCTTCGATTTATGTAAAAAAACGTGGGTTCTGCTAGCTTAACGTTAAGCTAGCAGAACCACTTCGTAAATAAAAGTTCAATCACAAAACTAATTATGCCATAATTTAAGGCTAATTTTAGGCTCCAATCCTAGCCTATTGCCAATTTTTTCGCACATTGTTTTTTTAAAAAAATCATGGGTTTTGCTAGCTTAACCGTTAAGCTAGCAAAACCAAATCTCAAATAGAAGGAATATAAAAATATTGAGTACACCATAATTTAAGGCTAATTTTAGGCTCTTCGTTGAACCTATTATCGATTTTTTTGAAAATCATTTTCTGCAAAAAATTTCCCAAATCCAACATGAACATGACAAACCAGTAGCAAACCAAAAAAAAAACTTCAATCACAAACCTGATTATGCCATAATTTCAGACTGATTTAAGGCTCTGATCCTAGCCTATTGCCAATTTTTTCGCACACTGATTTAAAAAAAAAATCATGGGTTTTGCTAGCTTAACCGTTAAGCTAGCAGAACCAAATCTCAAATAGAAGGAATATAAGAATATTGAGTGCACCATAATTTAAGGCTAATTTTAGGCTCTTCGTTGAACCTATTATCGTTTTTATTGAAAATCATTTTCTGCAAAAAATTTCCCCAATTCAACATGAACATGACAAACCAGTAGCAAACAAAAAAAACTCCAATCACAAACCTGATTATGCCATAATTTCAGACTAATTTAAGGCTCTGATCCTAGCCGATTGCCAATTTTTTCGCACACTGTTTTTTTAAAAAGTCATGGGTTTTGCTAGCTTAACCGTTAAGCTAGCAGAACCAAATCTCAAATAGAAGGAATATAAGAATATTGAGTGCACCATAATTTAAGGCTAATTTTAGGCTCTTCGTTGAACCTATTATCGATTTTTTTGAAAATCATTTTCTGCAAAAAATTTCTCAAATCCAACATGAACATGACAAACCAGTAGCAAACCAAAAAAAACTTCAATCACAAACTTGATTATGCCATAATTTCAGACTAATTCAAGGCTCTGATCCTAGCCTATTGCCAATTTTTTCGCACACTGATTTAAAAAAAAATCATGGGTTTCGCTAGCTTAACCGTTAAGCTAACATGTGAACATGACAAACCAATAGCAAACCAAACAAAGTTCAATCACAAAACCAATCATGTCATAATTTGGGGCTAATTTTAGGCTCTGATCCTAGCCTATTGCCAATTTTTTCGCACATTGTTTTTTAAAACAATCATGGGTTTTGCTAGCTTAACCGTTAAGCTAGCAGAACCAAATCTCAAATAGAAGGAATATAAGAATATTGAGAGCACCATAATTTAAGGCTTATTATAGGCTCTTCATTGAACCTATTATCGATTTTTTGAAAAATCATTTTCTGCAAAAAATTTACCAAATCCAACATGAACATGACAAACCAATAGCAAACCAAAAAAACTTCAATCACAAACCTAATTATGTCATAATTTCAGGCTAATTTGAGGCTCTGATCCTAGCCTATTGCGAATTTTTTCGCACACTGTTTTTCAAAAAAAATCATGGGTTTTGCTAGCTTAACCGTTAAGCTAGCAGAACCAAATCTCAAATAGAAGGAATATAAGAATATTGAGTGCACCATAATTTAAGGCTAATTTAAGGCTCTTCATTGAACCTATTATCGATTTTTTTGTTAATTATTTCCTGCAAAAAAAAATTTTTAATTGCAACATGAACATGACAAATATTTTCTGAATATTTCCGAATCGCCATGTGATGAAATATTTCTGCATCTTACATAATAATATGCATCACATTGCATAATACATCGTAGTGGCTATATATGGAAAAAATGCAAAAAACTGGAAGTAGGTTTCCATCATCGTCTTTCTACTTTACGCGCATCTATGAAATTGTTTAGTGAAAAGAATGTAGTTGATTTTGTTATGATAATATAAATCTCGGATATAATGATGTCTCAGTCAATTCTGTGAGAAATACGCTCATGATTCAAGATATTAGGTATGCAAGATATTATGTTGAAAATATTCGTAGACTTTTCCATTATTGTTACCCTGTTCAAAAAAGCTTGTTTTTTGCAAATGACTGCGGATAAGCTCTAAGAATGAGTGTTTTGTTTAAGAACGTCTTGATATTGATACTCTTATAGTCTTGATGCAATTTCTTTAGATGAAAAAACCAAGGTTAGTAGGATATATATATAGGTATCAGTGATAAATATCCGGATATAGATCTTGATGAATATCATGATATTTATGTGACGATATTTATCCTGATATATATATTGTATCGACATTTTTTTTTCTTAAATTTTATTGATCAGTATAAAACCTCGATCAGTATAAAAATATGGCCACGCTGGCGCTTCACCGGCAACAGCGAATTATGCTGCGGTGATTCCCCGTCGTTCCGTGATTCCCCGTCTTTCCGAGACGTTGAAGCCGAACACAGTTCCGCATTATATTTTATTAATTTTATCATTGAGTATTCACACTAGTGGTCTCTTATTTTGGTGAACAGTTAAAGGCAAAAATATATGATGTATTCGTATTCATAAACTTGTATTTTTTACGAGATTTTTTACCAACATTTTACATTCCTATACATAAGAGCACTGAGATTTGTAATTGTGATTAGTAACTTCCATTGAATAGAATATAATTGTAATGAAAATGTATGTACCTAAATTTCGGTATACCTATAATGTGTTTCGTGATCGAACTTTTTTTGATTTGCTAATGTATTGTCATGTTCATGTTGGATTTGGGAATTTTTTTGCAGAAAATGATTTTCAAAATAATCGATAATAGGTTCAATAAAGAGCCTAAAATTAGCCTTAAATTATGGTGCACTCAATATTCTTATATTCCTTCTATTTGAGATTTGGTTCTGCTAGCTTAACGGTTAAGCTAGCAAAACCCATGATTGTTTTTAAAAAACGAGTAAAAAACAATGTGCGAAGAAATTGGCAATAGGCTAGGATTAGAGCCTTGAATTAGCCTGAAATTATGGCATAATTAGGTTTGTGATTGAAGTTTTTTGGTTTGCTATTGGTTTGTCATGTTCATGTTGGATTTGAGAAATTTTTTGCAGAAAATGATTTTCAAAAAAATCGATAATAGGTTCAACGAAGAGCCTAAAATTAGCCTTAAATTATGGTGCACTCAATATTCTTATATTCCTTCTATTTGAGATTTGGTTCTGCTAGCTTAACGGTTAAGCTAGCAAAACCCATGATTTAAAAAAAAAACAGTGTGCGAAAAAATTCGCAATAGACTAGGATCAGAGCCTTAAATTAGTCTGAAATTATGGCATAATCAGGTTTTTGATTGAAGTTTTTTTTGGTTTGCTACTGGTTTGTCATGTTCATGTTGGATTTGGAAAATTTTTTGCAGAAAATGATTTTCAGAAAAAACGATAATAGGTTCAACGGAGAGCCTAAAATTAGCCTTAAATTATGGTGCACTCAATATTCTTATATTCCTTCTATTTGAGATTTGGTTCTGCTAGCTTAACGGTTAAGCTAGCAAAACCCATGATTTTTAAAAAAAAAACAGTGTGCGAAAAAATTCGCAATTGGCTAGGATCAGAGCCTCAAATCAGCCTGAAATCATGGCATAATTAGGTTTGTGATTAAAGTTTTCTTGGTTTGCTATTGGTTTGTCATGTTCATGTTGGATTTGGTAAACTTTTTGCAGAAAATGATTTTTCAAAAAATCGATAATAGGTTCAACGAAGAGCCTAAAATTAGCCTTAAATTATGGTGCACTCAATATTCTTATATTCCTTCTATTTGAGATTTGGTTCTGCTAGCTTAACGGTTAAGCTAGCAAAACCCATGATTGTTTTAAAAAACAATGTGCGAAAAAATTGGCAATAGGCTAGGATCAGAGCCTTAAATTAGCCCTGAATCATGGCATGATTAATTTTGTGATTGAACTTTGTTTGGTTTGCTATTGGTTTGTCATGTTCACATGTTAGCTTAACGGTTAAGCTAGCGAAACCAATGATTTTTTTTTTAAATCAGTGTGCGAAAAAATTGGCAATAGGCTAGGATCAGAGCCTTAAATTAGTCTGAAATTATGGCACAATCAGGTTTGTGATTGAAGTTTTTTTTGGTTTGTCATGTTCATGTTGGATTTGGTAAATTTTTTGCAGAAAATGATTTTTCAAAAAATCGATAATAGGTTCAACGAAGATCCTAAAATTAGCCTCAAATTATGGTACACTCAATATTCTTATATTCCTTCTATTTGAGATTTGGTTCTGCTAGCTTAACGGTTAAGCTAGCAAAACCCATGATTGTTTTAAAAAACAATGTGCAAAAAAATTGGCAATAGGCTAGGATCAGAGCCTAAAATTAGCCCTGAATTATGGCATGATTAGTTTTGTGATTGAACTTTGTTTGGTTTGCTATTGGTTTGTCATGTTCACATGTTAGCTTAACGCTTAAGCTAGCGAAACCCATGATTTTTTTTTAAATCAGTGTACGAAAAAATTGGCAATAGGCTAGGATCAGAGCCTTAAATTAGTCTGAAATTATGGCACAATCAGGTTTGTGATTGAAGTTTTTTTTGGCTTTCATGTTCATGTTGGATTTGGGAAATTTTTTTGCAGAAAATGATTTTCAAAAAAATCGATTATAGGTTCAACGAAGAGCCTAAAATTAGCCTTAAATTATGGTGTACTCAATATTTTTATATTCCTTCTATCTGAGATTTGGTTCTGCTAGCTTAACGGTTAAGCTAGCAAAACCCATGACTTTAAAAAAAAAACAGTGTGCGAAGAAATTGGCAATCGGCTAGGATCAGAGCCTTAAATTAGTCTGAAATTATGGCATAATCAGGTTTGTGATTGAAGTTTTTTTTGTTTGCTACTGGTTTGTCATGTTCATGTTGGATTTGAGAAATTATTTGCAGAAAATGATTTTCAAAAAATTCGATAATAGGTTCAACGAAGAGCCTAAAATTAGCCTTAAATTATGGTGCACTCAATATTCTTATATTCCTTCTATTTGAGATTTGGTCCTGCTAGCAAAACCCATGATTTAAAAAAAAAACAGTGTGCGAAAAATTTCGCAATAGACTAGGATCAGAGCCTTAAATAAGTCTGAAATTATGGCATAATCAGGTTTTTGATTGAAGTTTTTTTTGGTTTGCTACTGGTTTGTCATGTTCATGTTGGATTTGGGAAATTTTTTGCAGAAAATGATTTTCAAAAAAACGATAATAGGTTCAACGAAGAGCCTAAAATTAGCCTTAAATTATGGTGCACTCAATATTCTTATATTCCTTCTATTTGAGATTTGGTTCTGCTAGCTTAACGGTTAAGCCAGCAAAACCCATGATTTTTTTAAAAAAACAGTGTGCGAAAAAATTCGCAATCGGCTAGGATCAGAGCCTTAAATTAGTCTGAAATTATGGCATAATCAGGTTTGTGATTGAAGTTTTTTTTGTTTGCTACTGGTTTGTTATGTTCATGTTGGATTTGAGAAATTATTTGCAGAAAATGATTTTCAAAAAAATCGATAATAGGTTCAACGAAGAGCCTAAAATTAGCCTTAAATTATGGTGCATTCAATATTCTTATATTCCTTCTATTTGAGATTTGGTTCTGCTAGCTTAACGGTTAAGCTAGCAAAACCCATAATTTTTTTGAAAAAACAGTGTGCGAAAAAATTTGCAATAGGCTAGGATCAGAGCCTCAAATCAGCCTGAAATTATGGCATAATTAGGTTTGTGATTGAAGTTTTTTTGGTTTGCTATTGGTTTGTCATGTTCATGTTGGATTTGGTAAATTTTTTGCAGAAAATGATTTTTCAAAAATCGATAATAGGTTCAACGAAGAGCCTAAAATTAGCCTTAAATTATGGTTCACTCAATATTCTTATATTCCTTCTATTTGAGATTTGGTTCTGCTAGCTTAACGGTTAAGCTAGCAAAACCCATGATTTTTTTAGAAAAACAGTGTGCGAAAAAATTCGCAATAGGCTGGGATCAGAGCCTCAAATCAGCCTGAAATTATGGCATAATTAGGTTTGTGATTGAAGTTTTGTTGGTTTGCTATTGGTTTGTCATGTTCATGTTGGATTTGGTAAATTTTTTGCAGAAAATGATTTTTCAAAAAATCGATAATAGGTTCAACGAAGAGCCTAAAATTAGCCTTGAATTATGGTGCACTCAATATTCTTATATTCCTTCTATTTGAGATTTGGTTCTGCTAGCTTAACGGTTAAGCTAGCAAAACCCATGATTGTTTTAAAAAACAATGTGCGAAAAAATTGGCAATAGGCTAGGATCAAAGCCTAAAATTAGCCCTGAATTATGGCATGATTAGTTTTGTGATTGAACTTTGTTTGGTTTGCTATTGGTTTGTCATGTTCACATGTTAGCTTAACGGTTAAGCTAGCGAAACCCATGATTTTTTTTTAAATCAGTGTGCGAAAAAATTGGCAATAGGCTAGGATCAGAGCCTTAAATTAGTCTGAAATTATGGCACAATCAGGTTTGTGATTGAAGTTTTTTTTGGTTTGTCATGTTCATGTTGGATTTGGGAAATTTTTTTGCAGAAAATGATTTTCAAAAAAATCGATAATAGGTTCAACGAAGAGCCTAAAATTAGCCTCAAATTATGGTGTACTCAATATTTTTATATTCCTTCTATTTGAGATTTGGTTCTGCTAGCTTAACGGTGAAGCTAGCAAAACCCATGATTTTTTTAAAAAAACAATGTGCGAAAAAATTGGCAATAGGCTAGGATTGGAGCCTAAAATTAGCCTTAAATTATGGCATAATTAGTTTTGTGATTGAACTTTTATTTACGAAATGGTTCTGCTACCTTAACGTTAAGCTAGCAGAACCCACGTTTTTTTACATAAATCGAAGAGCAATAAATTCGGCAATAGGGTAATAAATTAGCCTTAAATTAGCCTAAAATTATGGCCGAAGAAAAAATTGAAAAATTCAAAGTGGTTCTGCTAGCTTAATGGAGGTCGCTTAACAGGCAGTAAAGGTGTACTTTTACTGCCTAGACAGGAAAAGTTTGTTGCTATGCAACATTCCAAGAAATTCTAATGAAATTAGTAATCAAAAGTGACACTGACATTGGGTGAACACAAACTGATGAAGTTGTCACTAAAAAAATTACACAAAATTGATTTCATATCATTTGGAGAAAAAATTCTATGTTTCACACGGCAGCAAATGTAGATTGACTGCCTTGGCTGAATTCCTAGCCTTGCTACGTTCGGCTATGAACTATCAGCCGCGGCAGCCAATATACTACTTTTCTGCCTAGTAAAACAAATGACTATTTCCTTCCTTATATTACGTCAAAATTGGGCGAATCGAAAATTGGGTCAATCGAAAATTGGGTAAATCGAAAATTGGGCGAATCGAAAATTGGGCATATCGAAATATGTACCATACATACATATTGTGTGTATCAACAAATTGAAATATTCAATAATGATAAGCCCAGAATGATTCTTCATTCAGATTTGGCAACAACGCATTGTTCGGGTATATTTGGAGATGGTGGGCGAATCGAAAATTGGGTGAATCGAAAATTGGGCAGAACGCAACCTACCCCGACGGGAGGTAATATTTTGTTACTCCCGTGAGAAAAAATTGACAGGTTTCTGTCCATAAAATGATAGATGAAATGTTTGTTTCTGTGACGGAAAAAAGTTTGTGAGTCAAAATGACGCGATTCCTTAACTGGGCATGTAAATATCTATTAAATAACCAAAATAGTACAGTAAACTGGCCAATACTTGGGAAATATTGTGTCACAGATTAACAAATCTTTGTTAATCTGTGATTGTGTATAGGAGAAATAACAATTATTTATATTCATGACCTAAAACATTTCAACCATGGTTTGAACATAGATGCAAAAATAAATATGATTACTAGGAAAACTACTACTAGAAAAGAAATATTTATACTTCTCAGTTGTTTTTAGTTCAATATCATTTCAATAGAGTCATCATATTTGGAAATGTGTTTTAATCAATCTATTTCAGTTAACAATCATGAAATTCCTGAAAAATTTGCAAAGAACATTATTTTAGGCAGTACCCTATAGTTTATTCATTTTAGTGAGACACACTATAATTTTTTATAAGTACACAGAAATGTGTATATTTGATAAATATGAAAGAATTAGTCATGTTTAACAAAAACCTACTTCACAGAACAAATGATTTTACTTACCCATTGCAAAAAAATTGGATATCTTTGAAGAACCCTCTTCATTATGAGAGGATCTACTGGATTTTGGTGAATTATCTGTTGAGGATAAGGTTAAAGAAGACAATTGCTCTTCAATTGCTGCTTCTTTTCTGAAGTTTTCATTTTGACGATATCTTGTTTTAATTTTTTGCAAAATACACACCTGAATTGAAAGAAAAAACATAAGTTTTTCAACATTTCTTCATTTTGAGAATCAACTTTGAATGAAGAATATTATTATACCTATTATTAATGTTTGTTTTCATAGATTCTGAGTATTATATTTTTATGAAAATATCCTGGAAACACCTGGAAATGCCGAATTTTGACTTAAAACTCATTTAAGGTAATAAAATACATATTATTATGATTTCTATGGGTAGGTACTACATTTAGACATTTTTTATATTGACTTTCAATTTTGATTTCAATTTTTTGAATCATGACAAAATATACTGTTGAAATAGACTACATAGTTTCCTATCAAATATCTATCATTTGTAATAAAATAACCACTCTTAACTCCTCCTGAATTGTTTGTTTCCTTTTCAAAAGATTTTTAATTTAACTCACCAAATTGTTAAGTTCAAACTCAGTAAACAACATTATATCTCTTGTAACATCTGGTGAACTCTCTACTGGTGGTTCATCACAGTCCATATCAAAGAACAATAACTCCATGAAATTGTGAACCCTATTCATATCCAATAAATTGAACAAGTCACAAAATCTGGCATCTATGGGCTCATATTTACTCAGAGCCAATGATTGTAAAATCTGGCAGATCTGAATGAGGTTATGCCTTACAATTTCTGTGACTTGGGACATGCAAATGCCATACTGCTCCGGATCCAAAATTACTGGGCAAATGTACAGGGTGAAGATGAGTTCAGTGACAATTGCATTAGCCTGAAATCATTATTAAATGAGATGGGTATCAGGAGTGTGACAAATTGAGATGAGTATATACCTGTTTGATAGAAAAAGACTTTTCTATGATTTTAGAAATCTGAGATACAATCCAAGCAACAGATTTTGGAAAACTATAAACATTTTCCAGAAGAGATGTAACAAAAGTATTAGTAAAATCCACAAGCTTTTCTATAACATTACTTCTGTACTCTTCCATATCTTTGAAAATTGTTGTTACTTCATTTTCATTTTGGATGAATCTGTGAAAAAGAAACTTGAAAAATTCCAACTGGCAATTTTTGTTTCAATGTGTCACCTCATACATGTCTTTGCAGGGTCTATGTCCAAATAGTACTCTGAGCAAGACATCATTTGAATGATGGGGATTTCCATAGCTGCACTTAAAAAAAATCTAGCAGAATGTAACACTTCATGAAACAAAAAATACAGTCTCTTGAAAGAGCAAGTTCTCAACTGTTTTATAATTCTGAAATAAAAGAGAATCAAATTATGGGGGGCAGGAGGGTAATTGCAAAAGTTTCACCTTCTAGGATCATCACAGTTCAACATTTGTAGTTTAGCCAATTCATACAGCAAAGTGAGCATATATTTTGTATCTTCAGGAAATATGAAACAGCCATACAACCCAACAACTATGTGCTCTAGAAGCAATGAGTAATTTAGTGACTCTTCAGCTATTTGTTCTCCAGCAATCAACCATTTGGCTAATTGAGCAGGTTGAGTTCTCAAAACCTCAAGTAAGTTTCCAATTTTAATGGCATTCTACAAAAAATAATTGTAGTAATATGGACACCAAAGCCATTTCAACTTCCATTCTTTTAGATAGGTACCTGAAATCCTAAACTGTGTTTAGCATCAACAAACTCAGAGTTGACCAAACCATCAACATTGGCATAATTTTGGGAGGAAGTCTCTCTTTGATACAGCAACAAACGTTGTTTGGTAGTAATCCATGAATCTTTTATAATATTGTGGATTTTGGTTCCTACCAGCTCATTCAACTCCTGTATTCTTCGTTTTTCATCTCTGATCAACAGGTTTTCTTGTCTCAACTGTAATATCACCTTATAAACATCCACCTCTTCATCTTCAACATTATCATTCTTCATTGTGGATTTGCAACCTAGAGAAATTAATTGAACATAAAGTAACATTATTTGGAAGTACTCTATTATGTATCATAAACACAATGAAGAGAGCAATTTCCTTTTATCGTAATTATAAAGTAGAAAACCTACCTGTGCCAACTATTGTTCACCCAAGGACTTTATTGGTATTTGATCTAGGCGTATTATTCACATTTGCACATTACGTAGGAATTTAGCACATCTGTGTATGTTCAATAATTATTAGTAATCACTGGGGAATTAAATAATCTGCCAAAAAGAAATAATGTGCCAGAAAAATAAGACAGGATATAGACGGTGGGACGTCAAAAAATTGACAAGCCATATCCAGTTATTGACAGATGACACATCAACAAACCATATCCAGTCATTGACAGATGACATCAAAAGAAGCTTCGTTTTCACGATGTCTCATATATGACCTTTGCGGTTGTTATTACATAGAGTGTCATACTTGATGTTCTGAGGAATGACATAACGTAAGAAATAATTGTCAATGTCATTTTTTTAGGTTAGGTCGCAGTATCCCTCACTTTTCATCTTCTACCTTTTTTGTATTTCAGCTTTGTACTATTAACTACTTAACCCATTATCTCCCAATGGTGCGCTCACACACCGCAATTTTGTTATTTTTTTGCCAGCAATATAAAGTTGATATCGCGAAAATCAGTCGTTATTAACTTACAGTGTTCTTATACTGTTGAGAAAAAATATAAAACGTTATATCAGAGAAAAAAAAATCAGATGTTAGTGTACTTCGAAGTACATTTGTTGATAATGTAAGGAACATTTGCACGTATCATGCTTCGCAAAATATCACCAAAGGTAGATTATTTGATTGTTACTTCCTACCAGTGGTTCGTTCGTGCACCAATGAGCAAATTGAGATCACCTAGTTTATTTTCAACTCATTGGGGCCCAACTATTTTATTTTTCATTTTAGTGTATGGTTATCGCTCTTCATTAGCAATTTAATGATTGGAACTAGTTTTTCGAAAATTAAAAAAAAATATTTTCTTACTTTTCTTGCCAGTGGTGCGTGTATGAACCATTGTAATTTTTTGTGAAGTTAGTTTTTTCCACTGTCGATGATCAGGAAAACTCATTTCAGAATGTAAGATAATAAATATTTTTTGTCTAAAACACATATGTTATCATATTTTTCGTATACTTGGGATTAAATGGGTTAAAATTAAATTTATGATGTCTGGAGCAATGCAATGTTTTCGCATAGAAGATCAAAACACCATCTTGTCACTGCGTTGTGTTGACTGATGTTCAGTTGAATAATAGGCCTTTTCATTTAGTTGTGATTTTAACAGACATGCGCTGGATCTCAGATCCAAAATTTGGAGGGGTAAAGCGAAGTCTCATTGGCTATAGGTCCGACACAAAATTTTATTGGCCCATTCGGTTTTTATTGATTTTCTATCGATTGTCATTTGTCAACAGTGTCGACCACCAGAGGCGTTCGTCAACCATCGTTGCCAGACCTACTATTTTAACAGTAGATCCACTGTTTTTGTCTCCGTTCTACCACTCTACTGCTCTACTGTTCAAGGCAATGGCCTGAATGGTCATGTTATAATATGACATAACTACCTAATATGTAACAATGAATAATTATTGTGGCATCACAGTAAGAAGATGTATGATAAAAATATACCGGAATAATCATATTCAGTCAGATTAGTAAAAAATTAGATTTCATTTTCAGTTCGGTTGAGGATAATACAAATTTTATTTCTTATTTTATTATTTTTTGTTATCCTTTGTTCGATTTTTAATAGGTATAGAGATCAACCATAATCATGTTTTCGTTCAATATATAGGTTTCTATATTTTTTTCATCAATTATAATAGCAAATTGTGATGATTATCAAAATCTACTGTTCAGTTTTGATGATCTACTGATTTTTTTCTCACTCATCTACTGCTCTGGCAAATTTTCATCTGGCAACACTGTCGTCAACGTCAATCGTCATTGAGATTTGAGAAATGGCGTCTTCGTATTTTCGTTTCTAGTTTCTATATTTCATAATTTTCAATTACTATTCCTGGTGTGTATTGATTGTATTGTGATAATTCAATTAGGAATAAACGTGACTTATTCCTTACCGAAGAGTGTGGTGCAAGTTTTTTTGGTGAAAATGGTTTTGACATGTTTTGTTTGTAGCGCGGAGTGGAGTAATAGAAATAATTTCCGTTCATTTCACAGGTGAGTTTGATACCTTCATCCATTCCACTTTTCCATCATCTTAATTATAGATTTCATATATGAATTGATAGACAGTGTCTACCTCTCGAATATTATTGAGTATATTTATAGAGGACAACAACTGGGGGAACAAAGAAAGATCTGGAAGAGTGGTAGTGGTGAGCAAATTATGTATCTGCTTCGTTCAAATCAAAAACTCAAGGAGCTTTTCTGACTAAAGTGCCGTTGACTGGATATTTCTACTGAGAAAATGTTCTATTATTGCATATTCTTATTAACCATTTATTTGTTCACAACCACTCTCAACGCTTTTCCACCTCCTTGTGGTCATTTTATTCTGTTTTGCTATTTCTAGTTATGGAATCATCTTGATTTCCACAATCTATCATTTTAGACATTTCCTAGTTATTGAATCTCTATTTCCACCTTTCACTTCTGACAAATATATACTAATAGTCAGCCAGTCCCCAAGATGGCATTATACTAATAATAATAATCTATTATTTTCTAAGAAACAAAATAATATACATGTTTATATCAGGAAAAACAGAACATAAATAATAATAAGTCTAGGAGTTGACCTCCAAGTTAACTATGACAGTGTATCTCAGTTGATAGGTACATGATATAAAATGTAAATCTTCAAATAGGTGATCAATATCAAAAATAAAATTGATATCAATTCATAATGTCAGCTGGAAATATAAGAAGAAGGCAATTTCTGATTCTGATGGTCATGAGGTTTTCTGTGAATATACTCAATTTGGTGTTTCTGTACCAACAATTATTATTATCTCACTGGTTTGATATTGAAATAACATGTTCAGTAGCATTCAGAAATGTTGATATTCTTATTGCTGAGTTAGACACTGTTTATTTTCAATAAATATCAACAATCCTTTTTGCATTTGTAAGTGAATTAGTCTATCAATATATTGATTGAAAATTCACAAGTCTTTCCTGAAATTGTAGAATTCCTATAAGGACTCTGAAAAGAGAAGAAAATGGGCAGAATTCTTGGAGCTGACTGACAATCATATCAATATGGATATAGAGTATACATGTTTGCACAGCTCATTTTCCAGATTATCACTTCATTATGAAACCTGGTGGAAAATGTTTGCTTGAAATGTATGACAATACCTATTCTGAGAGGTGGACCATCAATGAGGTGAGTAATTAATCTAACAACATTCAATTGTGACTCAATTTGAGAGACATTCAAAGGAATGAATGGATCCATCATCCATTCAATTTTTTTGCTGATATTCATCATGCAATTTCTTCATTATTATTCATCCCAAAAAACATCCATTGTACCAAATAGCTTATAATATATATATATACAGTGTGTGTCTGATGGATATCAAAACACTTTATTTTTTATTGGATAGGTATTCAAAATGTCGCTTCCTCTTTTCAAGCACCCTGTATTTCATGCTGATGCAAATCGGTGAGTACAGGTATGTTTCAAGTGATTCTGATTCAGAATTCATCTTTTTTTTAGTGAAGAACTATTATGATAAAAAATATTGCTCACTTATTCTTTTTCTTTTTTTTCTCATACATTGTATATTTGAATGATGAAAATTGATATCAATATGTTTCAAGTAATTCTCAATAGTGATTTGTCATCCGTTCTACCTCAGTTATTTTACATTTTCTGATCACATTTTAAAGAAATAATGATAATTCGTTTTTTCAAACACCCTGTGTTTTGAGATGATGAAAATCGACACAGGTATGTTCCAAGTGATGCTGATTCAGAATCCATCATTATTTTTTCTGAAAAAAATCCATATTACTTTTTGAAATATTGGTCCATGAAATTGATCACAGTTGGCCATGATTAGAGTCCAGGAATGAAATCACTCTCTTGTTGAATGGATATTTTGAATACCTATCCGACAAAAAACAGTTTTTCGGAATGGATAAGATAATTTTACAGGGGTAGTAAGTCCTAAGGTATATGAATGACAAGATGTTGACACTTCATCAGTAGGGTAGTACGCACAAAAGGCCCCTAATAAATAGGTTGGGTTAGGATAACACTTTGTATATTTAATACAAGAATGACATCAATGTCATAGTTTGATAATATTCTGTATATTCTCAGAATATTATTTGACAAAAGATTCTGTGAATATGTTGAATATTATAATATTCTATGATCATTCTAAGGACATTCTATCACAATATTACAAAATGGGTATATTTGAACGTTGTTGTTCTAGAGTATTAATTTTTTCCTATATCATCAGAATATTTGCAAGGAATATTCCATTAATGTTCACAATATGCTGAAAATATTATTTCATGAACATTCTGGAATATTATATCTCGGGAGCTTCCAGGAATGTGATTTCATAATATTATTAGAATATTCGCACCAAACAAGCCATGCATATTCGCAACTTTCTGAGAATATTTTATGAATATTCCTTAGAATATTCTACAAGATGACATTTCCGCAGCTTGGAAGAATATTCTGAGAATTTTCATGCCATCTGGGATATGAATATATTTCCATAGATTGTTGAACCATGAACAAAATAACTAATTTGTTATATGGAAATTTTTTTCATCCCAGATTCAATAGGGTTTGTAGAAAAGTTATAGAAGAGTGAGTATATATTCATGGCCATTCAAAATAAAGGAAGAAGAAAAGTATAAATATCTAAATGTGACAATTTTATTTCATCAAAGGAAAATTCTTTGAAAATTCAAAATTATCTACTTTCATGCAAGTGTGAAAAAATAAATTTTGATAATATTGAGTATGGTAATTCATTTGATGGAGAATTTTGAATTTTTATTTATTTGAATTTAATGGCGCTATTTTTAACTGAACAACAAGTTATTGACATTCTTAAAATTGTGTTCCAAATATTCAAACAATAATTTGAAATATATTTTCTCATCCATAGGCTGAAAACAAGTGATTGAAAGATGATAATAAATTACAAAGGAGGATGAAGGAGTTGGAGGCTAAGGGCTAAGAAAGTCTTGAGTAACTTTGTGGAAAGTTTGAAGCAGAACTATAAAAATGTAAGTTTTATACATCTCTTACTTTGTAAAAACTTCACAAACGATAAGATTCACACAAAATTCTCAGACACATGACATGTTTCGCTAACACAGTAGCTTCGTCGCTCAACGCTTCGGGTATATCACTCATTTTGAAAATGCCGGATACTGCATGATGATCTAGTCATGCTATCGCCATCTAGATGACAGCGTCATGCTGTGTATGCCGTGGCCACATGGCTAGATCATCATGCAGTATCCGTTGTAACTTGTAACTTCTTTGTTTCTTCCATGAAATTAAATCTGCCAGGATACTGTGAAAAGATGAAGAAAATTCATCCACATCAATGGCTGTTTGAATATATCACATAATAATTCCGTGAAGCATTTGATCTGGAGGACCTGCTACAAACAACAAGCAAGATCTGATCTGGCAGGACATTCATCACCATCCATTATCACCAATAGGTACCATTCATGTGAAGCAAATATAAAAATGTGAAGATAATCCAAATGCTGTATTTCCAGTAGTTTTATATTTCTTCTCATGTTGTTTTCTGTATCTGTGTATGTATTTGAACTCTATAATATTCAATGGTTACATTTTTTCACATCAAAGCTAGTAGTAAAAAATCCTGTTTGAGAGTAAAATCAGTTAATCTGGAAATTGCCATAAAACTCTTCAGTCAATTGCTTCTAATGATTTTGATGCTAGAAGTGTTGATGAACCCTTTTTTCATCTGAATATCACCATAATAACTAACTTATTTTTTTCATGTAGACTACCATTTTGTATAATAGTTTTCAATGGAATGAATACATGCCAACAAAATTATGTTGTTCCTTATGAGCATCCTACAACCGTTTTCAATTTTCTTGAAAACAGACTGTAGAAAACATAGTATACATACCAAGCAAACTTGAAATGAATATTTTCCTATTATAATTTCATGGAGTTATTATTTTATTAAA